TTACAGACTCCATTTTTTTCGATAATTCAAAATCCCGCGAATTCAACCAGGTTTCAAACCTTTTTTGTTATCGGAATGGCTTTACCGACTTCCTGTTACAGAGTTGCCAGGTAAAATAAAAATATATTTTGTTTCTTCAAGTGCTCCTGCACTTTTTCTAAAGGGTGCCAAAAAAAAGAAAAAAAAGGGGAAAAAAGGATTGCATCGTGTCTGTTTTGGCTTTTCACACCCAACAACTTTCCGGCTTTCGAAAAAAAAGGGAGTTCCCTGCCAAGAACAAAAGGCTTGCCAGGCAGGATCTTGGGTAAAGGGCCAAAGGACACTGGCGAGACAAGAAATGAGTCATTAGGCAATAAACAAAACGAAGGGCAGGCAAAAAAAATCAAGAGCCTGAAATTTGCACACGCGCTATCAATTTGAGGCTCAAACAATAGAGTATTTTAGCCCTTGTACGGGCTATTTGTCCTCCGTTTGCCGCTTTCATTGGAATCCTTTTTTATTATTTCTCGGCAGTGTCCTTTGGACGCTTGCCGGCAATCAAAAATAATAAACACCCCTAATTTCGAGGACTTGCAGGAAGCCAAATTGATGGCGTTGATAAGCAAAGTGTCCTTCCTCCTGCTACCTTCACCTCCCCCTCTCTTTCAGAAATCCTTTGCCATTCTCCTCCTCATTAAAATCAACACCCAGCAGTCCTGATGAGTCCTGATATTTCAGAGCTCCTCGTCATCGTCGCAGCGTCATTAATATTTGGCGCTTAGGCAAATGCAGCCGCATGAATTGTGGCCAAGTCCTTCTCGACTAGAGGTATCCTGTTTTCAAGGGGGGTATACTAAATTACACTGAGAAAAAACCATTAAATTGGTAAACAATTAATAGAATATTTTAGTGAGTAAGTCCTATTCATCGTACATTTGATAAGGAAGCTTGAAGTAAGTCCTCCAAACCATATATATTTTTTTCTCAGTGACTTCACAATGGCACCATGACTCGCTGTTTTGTGCCATTGGTGGCGAGAGCCCAGGCTGGGGAGTCACAAGCAACAGCAAAAGCAGAAACAGGAGCAGTACGAGGACCCAAGAGCAGGAGCCGGAGCAGGAGGATGAACAGGAACAGCAACAGAGATTTGGATCTTTTGGTCTATTGTTTGCAGCATCGAAATAATGCCGTTTCATGCATATGCATGGTGGGATATAGGAGGAGATGGAGTGGGGCAAGGACGTGGGTTTGGGGCACAGTGCAGACAATCAAATTTGATGTCAGAATGTGCCGGCGAATAAAAGCGGTCTGTTTAATATGCATATATGCATCACAGTTCCAGTTTCCATGTTATTCCATACTCTCCCCATATATGGCATATAGGTATAGAGACCCCCCCTTAGTAGCGCCCACCCCCCTGGGAGGCCCTTTGTGTGTGTATTTGCCAAAGCGCATCAAAATAATGAGCAGCCGCCCGTAAATATGCTTTAAAATTTTACGAGTTGTCATGGAGGCTTAATGGCTTCCACAGCCCGGAACGGTACTGGTAACGGTACTGGTAACGGTACTGGGAATGGGAATTTCGGGATATACGAGTTTTTACGAAAGATATATGCTGAAATTTGTCAACTAAAAGTGACAACCATCATTCTGAGTGGTAATACTTTCGAAATAGCACGAAAACCATATCTCTATTTCTGATTCAGAAGTAGGATGCTTGGGGGGAGTCGGATATCCTGTCCAGGTGCTTGGCTCTTCAAGTCCTGCTGCTCTATTGGTTTTCCCCACCGATGCGTGCTAAAAGTGTTTTTCTTTCCTTCCCTTTTTACTCTGCTCCAGTGTAAACAGAAACTCACAACAAGAAGAACAAAGGCAACAGAAATCAACTATAAGGGGCACTTAAAAGAAACAACTAGAAGAGGCGGAGAAAGTAGCCGCAGTGCCAAGGTCGTGCCACCCCACTCGGGTATCGGGTGTTGGGTGTTGGGTGTTGGGTGTCGGGGCCACTCAAGTCCTCGTTGAGGTGGTGGTCAAGTGGATGTATTATCGAGGCAGGGGTTACACGACCCGGCCAAATGGAGAATCGAATTTGCATTAGCATCAAGTGGCTGACACTCTCAATGTTTATCGAGGTGTCGAGCAATTCCATTTCGATGATTGCTTATCGATTTAATCGAAATTAGCAGCAATAATAATTATCCGCTGAAGCGAATAAAAGGAGGAGCCAACTTAACTAATTTACTTGCAAAGGATGAGCCTTCATGGTTTTATTATAATTTCAGCTTAGCTCGCTTTGTATCCAAGTTGCATGTGCCGGCAGATGGTGCCTCGCCACACAAATTTAAACTCTACAAGGCACACATTTCTGTTGCAAGTAACTGCAATAAAATATTTGCAATTTAATTAAACGAAATTAAACAATTGAGGCAGCCAGGCAGCCGGCAGCATGGCAGCCAGCATTTGTGCAAACATGTGTGGCAATTGCGCTGCTTGCCTCGTAATCTAAATTTGTAAGTTGCCATCTCCATCTGCAGACTCCGGCCGGACAAGTGCAAGTTTTTAGGTTTCTGTTGCCACACTTTTGTGTGGCAAGTTTCTCTCGAATGTCTCGCAGCCTGGAGGCGCCAGCAAGAAATTGTTTCACGTTCTATTTCCCTTTCGCAGGACTCGAACAAAAGGAGCAGGGACATGGTGCAGGAAGCAATAAATGTAAAGTAGAGTGCACAAAAGTTTCTACCATGATTATGATAAGGGAGGGCAGCCCCTGGTCAGCAAATCGATTCGATTCGGATTGTGAAAATATATATATATATATATATATATATATGTGTATATACGTTCGAGTGGCACAATCAAAATATGCAAGCCAGTGCAGAAAATTTTTGCATAAATATTTGCACACGCAACCGGCGAACGACCGAACAAAGTCAATAAAAGGCATTGCCTGGCCAAAAGTTTTTAATGAATTTATTTTCTCTCAACGGCATTAAAAGCCCCAAACAATGAAGGGCTCTGCCTTAATTTACGGCATCAGCAGAATGTAATACACAAGTTAGACAATAAAGGCCATCGACGTCCCATCGAAAGGCAAACAAGCCCGTAACAGGAAAAAACAGAAAGCATAAAGCCCGGGTAGGAGGAGGAGACCCAGGAACAAAGACAGTTCCCAGCTTTCTTCGGCAAAGCAATGCTCACTAATTGAAATATATTTCCAAAGTCTCAGGTCCCAGGTACAAAGGCAACTAAGGACTTTATTGCCAAAGCTTTAAAATACCATTTAATATGATGCATGTTAAAAGTTGAAAGTATAAAGAATTGTAATCACGTTTGCAACTCTTCGGAATCAGCAATTGACCTGATTGCCCGGCACAGGACATAATTGAGAATCGTTTCTGGGAATTGATAATCAAAACACTCCAATTGAATTGCAATTGCAACTGCAGCTCTGCACACAAATAATTTGTCTCACTTAAAGGGGATCCGAGGGGCTGAGCATGTCGTATTCAATTAGGGCTAATTAGACCATTTGGCCAGTCAGTCAGTCAGTTAGTGGAGGAGTGCCACGTGCATAGAACACCAATATACCCTTCGGCCTCCCACTCCTCCCGCTCACCACCCACATAAACAGTTACAATCTGCGAAGCACGCATTGAGAAATTCAATTTTAATGCGGCTATTACATAATTTGATCCCTTCCCTAACCTTTCCTGCCAGGCTATGACTGCGTATTAATTAACATTCAAGATATGATTGTGTGCCGGGCTTATCCTTGAATTGAGGACGACTGGAAACAGCTAGAACGGCTTCAAAACTATGCCACAAAAGAGAACCCACTGCACAGATTTCTTTGACATTCGAGCTCTGACGCGTTCCGATTCAATTAATATTGTCGATTAATAAATAAGCAAAAAGTGCCACTAAAAATGCCAATGTCCAGCATTGGACATTGAATATTTAACATGCCATAATCCGGCATATAGTACATATGTACATACATAGGTCCTGGAATCGCTCCAAATTATTATGCCCGGCTCCTCTATACGCCCGTCAAGCCTGGCATCACATTTAATTAATTTAATAACCGCTTTTAACAAGCATTAATAGCGTTAATTTTTCTGACAGGGCCACTTTTCATTTGCATTTGCATTCATGTATGCATTTCGCAGCGAAAGGCCATTTCTTTGTGGTATCAATAATGGGTCATCAATTGATTGATTCGGACCCACATTTCTACATGGCAAGTGAGGCAAGTGCTGTAATTTTCAATTTCATTTCTGAAAGTCCTTAAAGTTTTCATTCTCTTTCAAGAGGGAGATCCTTAAGCGGAATACCTCACAGTAGATTTTCTTTTAGCTTCATTGTACTATCTGTTATATTTCATACAAGACTCATCATATATCTTCACTAAGCTTTCTAGTTCTCACAGATGAGTGACGTCTAAAATTCCACGAAAATCCTTCTAATTGGCTGCCGAAGTGAGAGCTGATGCTTCTGACAAAATAACATGCATGCCGTCATAATAGTTGCTTCTGACGGATAGATAGCTTCGCCTGATTGACGCCCTAAGACCCGCCTTGGCCCGGCAATCCATTAACCCCTTGGCACATCAATTAGAGTCGATTAATTTGCCTAATTGGCAGCGGAGTCCTTGAGCCCTGCACCAGAGATGACAGTGGCTGGGAGCGACAAACAAAGGAGATAACTAAATGCTGCGCCACCATTTCCATGTTCTTTCCACATGTCATCGTCATTGGCAGGGGATTGTGCTGCGGAGTTCGCCAAAGGACCTCTTCATAGCAGGACGAAGACATATTTTGACGGACCCGTGTAAGTGTCAAATACCATAACAGAGCAAGAAGGCCCAGAACCGAAACAAAGGAGCCTCAGATGGAGGCTTTGCCGGTCGGAGGGTGTCGGTATGTGGGTCCCGTGTCAGGAAATCCACCAGTCAAAGTCCTGACAGGACCCGTTTCTGACAGCAGCACACAGGCCACCCTTCTATTGTAAGACTTCATCGCTACTTCTTCAATTAATACCAGAAACACGTCCTTTTTTTTAATACAAAATATATAAAATTTTAAACTAGAAATAGTAGGTTAGAGTCATCTTAGATATGCTTTCTTAGGGCCTGACTAAAGTCACTGGAGCACTCCTTTTGCCACACCAGGTTCGTCTTGGCCAGGTTAAGGGCCATCTCCAGAGGCTTCTCAAACTCTTTCATATCCTTCAGGCTCGCACTCAGCTCCTCCAACGCCTCGGGCTTCTGAAGATTCTCAGCCAAACTGACCAGGAGACTGGTGAGGTCCCTCATCTTAAACTTTTGACTGTCGGGAAGAGTCTGTGATTAATTTTTCATTTAAAATCGATAGGAGCTTACCCCAGCAACTTGGCTTGGCTCATGATATGTTGTGCCGTCTGGGGAGCCAATGTCCTCCGATTTAAAGCCTTCTTCACGGCCAACATGTAGCAATCGCTGATAGATTTCTCATTGGATTGCAGAGTAAAGTTGAGGAACTGCTCGAATAGCTCAAAATTGGGACAGCATCCGAGGGCAGAGGCCCAGGTACTCTGCTCAGCTGCATCGGTTGAGCTTTGGAAGAGCTGGAATACTTCTGAGAACTCGGCCTGGCCACCGTTTTCCAGCACGGAGCAGTAAGCCACCTCCCGGAAATTGGAGGGCACTTCCAGCTGAGTGCCATTGCGATGAGACAGTGTCAGCAACCTGGCCTGAAGGAGGCAGTCCTCAACTCCAAAGCGACAGGCCTGGGAATATACAAAACGATGAAAGGGAACGTCCTTGGGAGATGGAGGTCTGCGTGAAGCCAACGCAAGTTTCGGAAAGCGCTTATAAAGCGGTAGGATGAGCTTCTTCATGTATGTCTATCGAATAGGATGGATGGATAAGATTAGAACGTAATCATTGGATAGGTAGACATCAAACCACACTAATTACCTTAAAGTCAAGCTCCTCCTGACCACTCAACAAAGCTCCTAGCCTTTCTAAAACCTGAACGGCTCTGTCCCAGGGCAGTCGGTTTGGTTCATTCTTTAGGTATTCCAAAAGATCAAACACCTCATCATACTTCCGGATTCGAACAGATGCGAGGGCGGCCAGGTCATCCAGCAGTTGGGCTCTGTTCAGCTCGTGGATTCCTCCAAAGGATTGGTCCTGGTTGAGGCTGTCTTTTATCAAACGCCAGTTGTGATCGTCGTAGTTGACGCGGAATATGGTGCTGACCTGGGGATTTAGAATCAGCCACTCATCGGGTCCTGGAGGATCGGATAGCTTTATAGTCGTGTCAGAGCTCGGACACCCTAGCCATGATTCGGGACTAGTCTGGCTAAAGTCCAAAGCCCCCTGCCGAACGAATCTCAGGGGCACCCACCAGCACGAAGTAATATTCTCCTTTTCTTGGCCAAGAAGGAATCTGGTCTGGTTGAGGCTTATCTTGCCTGACTCGTAGTCCCGAATGACCGTTACTAGTGGATAGCCACCTTGCAGAGTCCAGGAGTCCATTGCTCTGCTTAGGTTAAAGTCCTCGGAGATAACCTTACCACTCACAGCCACCTCCTGAAAGGCTTCCCAGAGATTCCTCTGATCCACGTTCTTCAGGGCATACTTTTTCAAAAAGGAACGAGTGCCACTGAAGAAGACATCCGATCCGAGTATCTTGTGGAGCATGCGAACGATAAGAGATCCTTTTTTGTAAACATACTCCGTGAACTGTCCAAGTATTGCGTTGGGATCTCTAACTTCTTTGGACATGGCTGGCACGGAGGAGCCTGAATCCTTCTTAAAGAAGTAGGCCAAGTCGTCTTGTATGAACCGTTCACCCCGCCTCAACTGGGGCTCCAATGCATCCAGTGCCAGGTATCCAAAGTACGTGGATGGACCTTCTTTCAGCCAGAGATCATCCCACCACTTCATGGTGACCATGTTGCCGAACCACTGATGTGCATACTCGTGGGCCAGTGTAAATGCATTCCTCTTGTGCGTCTCAACCGAAACATCATCTGGGGTGTGGACTATATTGAGCTCGTTGAACGTCACCAGCCCCCAGTTCTCCATGGCCGGAAACCGGTGATAGGGCACTATCAGTTGGTCGACTTTTCTCAAAGGAAAGCTCAGGTTGAAGAGCTCCTCCAGGAACTCCAGCGCTTTCGGTGCCATTGGGACGAAGAAATGATTCTTATTCACAAACTTGGGCTGCATCCAGTTCCCAAAAGTCACCCTGTTCCTAGTTTTGCTCTCGACAGTGGCCGCATTCCTTAGATCATGGACGGCGTAGGCCACCAAATAGGTTGAGGTTCTCAGGAGGGGTTCATACTGGCACCAAGTATAGTCCTTCAAGCTGTCGCTGGAAAGGATTAAGAGAAGCCATTATTACCTAGATTGCAGGAAGTGCTATGGTCCACGTACTGGGGCAGGCACTTTTGAACTGGCATGTTGCTGAGACCCGTATAGTTCCGATGGAAGCCCAGAGTTATGTCAAAAGTGGACTTCCAGGAGGGCTCGTCAAAGCAGGGAAACGCCTGTCGGGCAAAGGTCGGCGAGAATTGGGTCACCGCCATGTGGCTGAAAAGGTAAGGTACAGTTTTGGCTTTTAAGAGGTTAAGAGCTACCTACTGCACTTCTTTGGTGTCGGGATCAGTGTAGTTACTCCTATAGTAGCCCGAGTTCGAGTCGAGCTCCGCCCTGAAGTGCATCTCCAACTGGTAGACCTCTCCGGCTCTCAGTTCCTCACACAAGTGAAGGGTATAGAAGTCGTATACGTCGTCTGTCTCCCTTGAGACTACACAGTTTGTTTCCTCCCTGGAGGTCACCGATGTGCGATCATCAATCAAGTCCAGATTTCTGACATGAAGTGTGATGTTCCGTGTGGCTTCGCGGGCCAGTAGGCGAATTTTGACGGATCCCTCGAACCTCTGCTGCCCTCCATCCAAGTGGGTCAAAACGCGCAGGTCATAGTGCTGGGGCTCCAGGGCAGAGGGCAACCGGTAGTGATCGTCCTCAGCCCAAGCAAAGCCAGGCACAAGGAAGATAAGTACCAGGGTTTGAAGAGCTAACATCTCCTGTAATGATTTGAACACATTTGGGAAAGCTGTCAGTTATTGTTTAGGGCTATTCTCATTCAGTTAGCCTTTATTTCTTTCTTGTTTTTTGTAATTTCGGATCATTTTTAAAAATGTTTTTAAGGCTTTTCCGTAGTCCCAACAAAATTTTGTGTGTTGCCCGGGGACTGGGTAGAGGACCACTGACCGCCGTCAACCAGATGCACCAACAGCGGCATCTGTGCCACATTGGGAGCCGGAGGATGAAGTGGCAGATTAAATTCCTGAAATCCCTGAGCAGCCTAAGGCAGCGGTACTGTCTGTGGCGCCTCCGCCGGCTACTGGGCGTGGACTTTGACGAGGGCGGCTTCCTGGTGGGCTCTCGCCAGGCGGCGGCCACCATGATCGAGGCCGTGCGCCGGTCAGACTGGCCCTGCATCCGGGGCTGCTGTACGGAACGCGGATCGGCAGACATCTACGGGCTGTCGCGGGACCAGAGCTCCTACAACAACCTGGTTCGCTTCCAGAGCGAGCATCTGCGACATGCTCTGCCGATGCGGGTAGTGCGGCAGTGGATCGACGGACGGCGCTACGTACTAGTGGACATGCTCTTCGTGGGCCTACGCAACCTCTATGACTTTCCTAGCATCGAGGAGATGGAGGAGATGGAGACGCAGATACAGGCAGTAATTCCAGAGTCTGAACCCCACGAGCTGGAACCCTTGGCCTGTCGGCTGGTCGTTGCCGAGCTTGTACTCACGTTTTGTAAGGAGCTGGAGTGCGAGGACACCTACGAGTATTATATGGAGCTGGATTCGATTAACAACCCGGACAATCCCGAGGCAGGCTGGCTGGTGGATGCCTACAGAATGCACCGCTTTAAGGTGGTCAGCTTTAGCCCGGCCACCTACAACATTCGGGTTCGCGAATTCCCAAAACCGGTTTAACCTCGAATATACTCAAAATGTGTCGCAGATTGGGAATCGTGAAGTACTTTTATCACATTAAATTACTCGGAGCAATTGCAGTCACGTGCCAAGTCGACAGTTCAACGATCCACAGTTGTCCCGCGATCACGTCTCTTCCAGATTATCAAACGCACTGATCGGTGGGCTGGCTCTCCAGATCTATATATGGGTCTCCGGGCCCCAGTCTTCGTGGTGGTATGTCGGGTTAATTGTTTTGGCGATTGGTTTTTGTGGAATGTTTGCTCGTAAAATTTCAAATACTCCGCAATTTTCCAATAAATTGTTTTTTTTTTCACTCCGAAGTTGGATGGGCTTTTCCCTTTCAATTAAATGCTGGCGAGTTGGGTTTGCGGGGCACATCATTGCTCCAGATGGTGGCGTGTGAAAAGAAAACTATGTGTTTTTCGCAGGGTCCAAGGACACGGCAAATGGTGCCGGAGCAGGACGAATGAGAATCACGGCGTGTCGCTTTCGAGTGGAACATAAAAAATTGAGGGCTTAATTAAAAAGCAAAAATGTGCTGTGATTTTCCGCTTTTTTAACGCCAACAGCAGCAACTTCGGCAGCCGGTTCCCCAGGACCCGTATTTATATCCGTGCCGAGTACGATGTGAAAAAGCACACACATTTTCCAGAACCAAAAGGACGACGCTGTATAGTAGTAGCACAAGTGCAAAAACTACTTGCTGGCGACTTTTTATGTGCCCCATGTTCCTTGGAAGTGGAGGAAGCAGGAGCAGGATTTCCCAGCCTCATGTGTCTTTTTATTTCATTCCCGGCTTGCCTTCCCCCCGTAGAGGGGCACTACTCGTCCTTTCTTTCCTTACAAATTAAGCTTTTTTTTCGGCCAGCCGAGACCATGACTTTTGTTGTTAATTAAAGTTGCGACTAAAAACAAGAAGCTCTCAAGAGCTCATTAAAATTGAAATGCTGTATGACTGTATGACTAAAGGACAACACCCCGCAGGGACACGAATCCAAAGGTAATCCAAAGGTGAACTCCATCTGCCAGAAGCTAATGAATTAAAACCAAAACATGAACTACTCCAGACCATTTTAAATTTCGGTTTTGTGAAGCTAAGAGGTGAGTTTCTTAAAAACCACTTTCTGTGCGAAACCAAGCCATTTGTATACGCTGTCCATTTGGCAAAAGGATTTGCTCCAGGACTTTATGGTGCAGCAGTACTCTCCTCCAGAAATCGGGCCAATTGCTGAGCTTTAAAGTGCTCCTCGGCAGGCCACATAAATAAATGTTTGCACATTTACTTTACAAGGCATCCTTCGGTCGGTGAGTCGGTGGGTCGGTGGATTGGGTGGTCTTCTTCTCTGGCTCTTTGGATTGCGGGTGTTGGCTACGCTTTGTTGCTCCCAGCACGTTCATAACTCAACTCCGGATACGGGCTGGAGTACGGGTGCCCTGCTTACCGTACAGTATACGGTTTATTTACTTGCAATTCGAAGCCGCCTCCACTGCAATCTCAATACTCGCACAAATCCGGGGACTCTCCAAGGAGGGATTGCCATAACTTTTGTGTAGTGTAATGGCAGTGCAATTGGATAAATTTTTGGGCCAGAGCGATGAACTGCACCCATCCGCAGTCGGTGGGGGGATATGTGCCAGGCCAAGACAAAGCCCTGCCCGACCAAGTCGATTTGGCCAAATCTCTTTCGGCCAAAGGCGGGGCTCGGAATATACGGCGGATGCAGTCAACTAACTGGATCAAATCGCTCCAATCACGTTCCCAATGGGCATATTAGTTGTCGAAGCTAAACGGGAGGGCGAACTAACTGCAATCTAATTCCGAGCTGCCAGGGGAGTTATCGGATCAGTATGGCTAGTAAAAAATAAGAGGGTATGGAGGAGTGTCTTGATTTCTCCAGTGGTCTTTATTCTTTATTTTCCTTAGGGCTAAGGAAGAGATTTCCAAGATCTCTCTGATAAGATGGAAAGTATTCTTAACAACCTTTTGCAATGGGTATTCCCTGCCTGTCTATACCCCCAACTATCGACTGATTCATAAGCTGATCCGACAATGGCCCAAGTGCGACATGGCCGGGCTCCATTTTCCGGGCAGTTAGCAGAATGTCACGTAGCAAATGCGACAGCGTGGTCAACATAATGAATGGGCCTGGTGGCACTACTACAGCAACAAAGAGTGCACCATGTTGCAGGTGTAGACGACGAGTCCTTTCCCCAGGACTTCTCAGTGCAGGCACCTTTGATTTTGCCCCACAATCTAAAAAAAAATTCTTAAGGAGATACTTTATATGATACTTTATACTCAAAATAGACCGATTTCTTATTGCATATATGGCGGTTTTTTTTGGCCAAATCCGAGGACAGTCAGCACTGGCAGGCACCCCCACTCCCACAGACTGGTATCCATTCATGTCTGGTGTCCACTGATTGCTCTGGCGGACGGTTGCAATAACCTTTGCCCATGTCGACCATGTCACGACATCTCCGGTTCCCTGTCCTTGGTTTTCGGGCACCAAAAGGAACCGAAAGGATACCCTCAGTTGGCTACCAAAAATGTGTCGATGCACGTGACATTTTCGGATGCAATTTGCAATTTGATTTTGCCCTCTCCAAGGGGTGCTAGCGAGGTAGAGGTCCAGGCCGAGAAGTTTTCAGTTTGTTGCCTAAGTTCAAGGATCAAATTGATTCCCAGGGCTGGCAGCAGGTGTGAGTCTGAGTCTGGCTGCGTCTTTGCATTGTTACACTTGACCAATTCGGATTGCAATTACACACCTGACTGTTTCCCGGGCACACCAGCCAGCTCCAGGACATGACTTTATAGCCGTGAGTGGCCAGGGCGGGCTAGATGAAATAGTCGTACAACGATTTGTGTTGGCTTTTTCTTGTTTTTCAGTCTGATTTCCATTTCTTGACGTTCTGTTTTTTGAGAATTAGAAGGCTGGATTGGTTAATTGAAATGAAATAAACTATCCTGCCTCCTTCAAGGATTAATCAGTGCATTAAAGGGATGTGGGGCTCCTCCTCCTTTGAAGCCTGGGCTTCTCATTTGATTGACCTTTGGTGAGTGGCAAATGGTGTCGAGTGTCAGTGCGGCCACGTCACTCCATGCCACTCCACTCCAGCCCCACTCCGGGTAACCTAATTGAGACTTTGAACAAGGAGCCTGGGCAAAGTGTGTCGAGCTTCAATCACACTCCCTTGCTTTGTGTAGACCTGTCACTCAACCCCAGGCCACAAGATGAAGAAGTCCTCGGATTTGTAAGCCCAGCCCCTTGGGGCCAGTTAAACCCATTAAACCTCCTCCTTCTGTCGACAGCCTCTCCCTGCTGAACAATCGCGACCTGATCAAGACTCCCTCGGGCAGTGCCATCGTCAACTTTCTGGTGAAGCCGATGAGCGTAGAGATGACCACGGCGGACAAGCTCATCACGGGCGCCAGGCGGCAACGGATGATGGAACTGTTCGAAGAGGATCGGGCGTGGGAGGCGGCCGAGCTGTCCCGCTTCGGGCTGAGTTGCATCAAGGCCCCGGACTGCTATCCCTGCTGCACGCCCTACGAATGCAGCAAGGTTAAGATGTAGTTGTTGGAGTGGTCACTGATATATAGTCCTTTAATGTAAATCCTTATTTTGTTTTGAATGAAAATTAGCTGAAAGAATTGTTGGAGTAAATGCTTGAAATTTATTTGTTCTTTTATAGGCTTTACACCTTTTTTTTTGCTCCTGGTTGGTGTGGTCGTGTGGACTGTCGGCGGTGTAATAAATTGATTCAGTGGGCCTTGTCTGCGGCCATTAATCTATTTCCCGGGCAGCCCGCCACGCCCCCAGCTGGATTTGTTGTTCATTGTTTAATGAATGGCAGGCAAATTTCGTCGCCTTTGTTTTGGAGATAAAACCCTTTTGGGGCGGAGACTGGCTTTATTTTGGCGGAGAAGGGGGTGGTTGGAGAGGAGGCCTCTCGGATTTGTCATTTTTTTTTGTGGCGGAACAAAACACAACTGATTATGGCAGAAGAGGCCTAGCTCAATGGAGGCGCCACTTGCTCGGATTAATTGAAAGCCAAAGTGGCCTGGTTTTTGGCCGGGTTTCCATTCCATTTCTTTTTTTTTTAACGCTTTTTCCTCTTCTCCATCATCATTTGTCATTGTCAGCTAACGGAGTGTGATGGCCCGCTCCATTTTGCACTAGATGAGATAAGAACAGGGCTCAATATCCAGCAGCAGTATCCTGCCGCATCCAGCCACACCTCCCCCTGTTTCGCTCAGTGCACTCGGCTGCACTTCCCGCCTGACTTTTGAGCGCGATTTCTTTTCCGTGCTCAGTCAGCGGTGCACTAATCAAATTATAAGTCCTGCCCATTGGAAAGTCGTTCGATGCAGGACCTCCACCGACATTGTCATCATCAGCCCGGGCAATCATAACTTTCACAAAGGACGGGTCTCGTCCTGCCCTCCGCAGATCCGGCTCTAGTGTCCCCATTTATATTTTTTTTTGCCGTTTAAGGTGCTATAAGACCATAATGGATGACAGAGAGGGTTGCAGTTCCATTCCCATAGTTTGCCCTTTAACCTGTTTTTCTCCGGGAATATATTTTAATTTGTTAGGTTCCCTATAAACTTATTTTTTCTCCAATTTTGGGTTCCACTTATTTGAAGTATAATTATTTAATGTTTTTTGTTCAGGTGCTGGCCCGAAACCGTTCCACATTAAACAATGCCCGTTTCTTTAATTAACCATTTTCATTTTCTGTTTTTCCCCCAAATTTTTTTTCCCCTGTTTTGTTTAAGCCTTCCTCGTGTGCCGGGCCAGGCTTGTTGCACTTAATTGCTGTTTACTTTGGCTCGATGGTTGTTTTTTCTGCTCACTTGCAATAACACTGGAGATGGGTGGGCTCCACTTACGGTAATTCGACTAGGACAGCCGGATATCGAACCGACCGACATATATACCTCACCCTTTGTGATCTCTTTTATAATCCAACACCGAAAGCATCCCGTTTGCTAATGACTTGAAATCCCATCCAATCATCCTAGCTGCCCAGGACTGCTGTTTGCGGCTGGCCCGTAATTTATTTCTTAAAAAAGTGAAATCCATTAACACAAATTCTTTGGCCCACTATCTCTGCACACCGCCGCCGCTCCTTCTGTTTATTATCCCCCCTAAGTCTTTCTCTGACCATTCACGTGGATCCAGTATTCCAGTGTTCCGGTTTCCCAGCTTTTCCGGCTCTTCCGGCTTTGGCTGCTGCTGCCGCAGCTTGGCCGGAGAAAAATTGCAATCACCTTTGTGATTGTGCTTTGCCTTTCAGCTTATCGCTCTGGCATTCAACAGTTTTCGCTTTGTGCACTAAAAGTATTAAATTTCTTCAAATATTCCTTGCTCTCTGTATGTATGTATGCTCGATGTGTATGTATGAATGAAAAGGGAAACCCCCCTTTTCAGCTCCGCTCACTCTCACATGTTTCCCCACTGTGGTTGAGAGTGTACTTTGGAAAGTACACGACATATGTACATACATATATGGCTTTAGTTTAAGCTTTAAAATAATAAAACATTTTAAAATAAATGTCTTTAAAATAGTTACTAATCATTCTAGTAACCCCTTTCAAAAGATATCGGTAAGAAATATCGGAATAATGTGTGTAATGTGACAACCCTGGGCAAAAATATTGGCTGAAGACGCAAAAAAAAAATCTACATATGTATGTATGTATGTACGGACATACTAACGCATGCATATGTCGTATATATGTACATATATTTAACATACATATGTATATATAAATCTGCATCTGACGCTGCTATTCTTTCAGTTCGTTTTCATTTCTCAAGCCATGCGCTTCATATTCCTGATATACTTGATTTTCGGATTAACTCCCCATATACACGGGGGAGTGATTCAGGAGACGTTGGACATCCTTCAGACGATCAATCACGTGACAAAGGCGATCCTTAAGGCCGTGAATACGATTGAGAGCATTCCTGTGGCGGAAATCACGGCCGGAAGCCTGATCTACTCTAGACAAAACCAGTTGTTGGATAAAATGGCAGAGGTCAGTGCCAGGATCGTTGAGCTGGAGAAGCAGCAAGAACGCAACACGGACCTGACCATCCAGATGCTGCGGAATATGTGGGACAAAACGGAGCTACTGTTGCAGATCGATCGCCTGAACGTAGTGACCACATTAATAAATCTCCGCTACAACCAGCTGGGCGACTACGAGCGACACCGCGACGCTCTGGAGCCGATCACGCTGCTCAAGTTCACCCAATGGAACGTTGATCCCAGTCCCAATTCGCTCCTCACGCAGGTGGAGCAGCTGCATGGCAGCCTCTACGGATGTGAGCCTTATGCTGGAGCCGACAAACTGGACTACTCGCAAACGCTGATCTGGCGGCTCACCCAGCGCTTTCAGGACTCTCCGGAGCAAATGTGCCTGGCCAAACAGTCCGCCCAGCAGTTTGCCTACAAACTCTTCAGCAAGGCGGCCGTGACGGAGCTGAAGGCCTACTTCATGATGGAGTTCTCCTGGATGGTGCAGCGGAAAATGGGGCGCGGAAACTTCACCCAGGAACTTTTACTCATGCGCACCAACCACCAGAAGCGTCTGGACGCTGCTGTAGAAATTCTTCAGGATGTGATGAACAAAAGTGACCGCATCTACTGGCGCTGTGATCCCGAAAAAAATAAGCATGTGGAGGGGGAGACGTACGACCGAGTCACTCGGCTGCTGCAGGGCTTTGTGGAGAACGAGATCAACTTGCACAGCGATCAGTCTTGCTGGAACACCTGCGACGATTATCACGACACTCGTTCCAACGGTTGCTATCAGCCGGAGCAGGAACTGTGTGGCCAGCAGCCCTCATGCAATGGGAGGCTCTACAACTGTGGACTCATCGACTCGGACATGACCATTTGCCCTGCCCAAGAGAACGGAACTCGGCGCTATGAATACATACACTACGACGATGGCACCACTCTGGGCGGGAAAAGTGCCGGCTGCAAGTCAAAGGAAAAGAAGGCTGACTCCTGGACGCGCTGGCTCGTGATGCGCTGTCACTATTGCTTCTGCCTGTGCGACGAGCCCGGACCACTGTCCGATCGCTACTTCAATCTGCGGGCCAGCATGTCTGATTTCATGCGCAATCGGATCGTGACCGGAGTGCGATTTGTGAAGAGCCAAAGGGTGTTCCATCTCCAACTACAGCAAGGACAGCTTCTGTCCTACGGAGCCATAAACTCAAGCACACTGGAATGGCTTCCTCTGGACGACTACAACGTGAGCGATGCCGACATCCGGAACGACTACGACTACCACACCCTGAGCGCAGACAGCCGATCCCTAGATCTGGACGAGATTGTGTCCAATGCCACGGATCAAGTAGTAACCGGCGTCCGATTCCGAATCTTCAAAAAGCACCTCAACCTGGAGGTGCGCTTTACTCCCTTCAATTTCTCCACTGGCCTGCTAGTGGAGCCGCAGACGAAGAGTTTCTGGCTGGGAAACCACAACACGGATCTCGACGGCGCTCGCCAGAAGCTAATACTAAAGGAGTCCGACCTGCCCACCGCTTCGGAGATGCCATCGCTGCCGCTCTCCCAGACTAATCAGTACATGGAGTTTGTCAGTTCCAGTCGGGAGAAAGACGTGGCCCAGAATACGCTGCCCTTTATCGACATTCAGGAGGTGGTGCCCCACCCCGCTGTACCCTTGTCGGGGCTGGGAATTTACCATAAAGGACGATCTGGCTACGGGGGTTTCTTTGCTCCCAAGGTGGTGACCTATGATTTTGCCAAACACCTAACTGAGCCGCGTAAATAAGCTCATAAAATATAATATAAGTTTTTTAAATTTAATTCTCTTTTCACAATACTACATTATAACAATACAGAAACAAATAAACCGCAAAAACTTAAAAGTATTTACCATTTTCAATTCACCTCATTATATTAGTGTTACCGTCTTGGTATGTAGAAAGTGTATTTGGAGCAAAGACACAAACCACGACGAATTACAGAAAACTTTAAATTTGTATGAAAAAAATTAAAAAATTGCACCAATGACTAAGTTAAATGTTTTTCCTACATCTAAGTAAAAAAAACACATATAAAAACTTTTATTTTGGTATTTGCAGGAACATTGTAATGTAGATTTGTTATCAGCAACCCTAATCAAAAGTTAAAGTGAAATTTATACAAAAAATAGTCTGGATTGAATTGAATATTAATATCTTGTCTCCCTTATGTAAAATCGTTAAATAAAGTCCCCAAAAATATCTTCAAATATCGAATATTTATAAAAATATCGATTCGAAATATGAATTTCGATATCAACTAAGAATATCGATACATTGATATTTTGTTATCAACAACCCTAAGCCCAGCACGGCTGTTTTTTGTATTTAATTTTTAATTATTCCTTATTTTGATATAAATAAAGGAAGATAAGGCACCACCCAACGAGCCATTACCAGGCTATCTCATTTTCTGCACCCCGGTAATCAACTGGCAAGGCCGAACAAACTCGAAGTGGAAGTGGAAAACGACGGAGCGCCACAGGACGAAAAAGTTGGCGGAGCGGAGGAAATGACCAGCAACGCAGGAAACAATGGAGCTTCTGTCCACGGAGGGGGCAACGGGACACTGGAGGGTACCCTCAGCAAGTGGACCAATGTGATGAAGGGCTGGCAGTACCGCTTCTTTGTTCTCGACGAGAATGCGGGGCTGCTCTCATACTATACGGTGAGTGTGCCAATTGGAGTCGCATTACTAACCTCCCATATCGTATCCAGACCCGAGTCTTATCTTATCAGGCCTAGATACATTCGGATACTCGCACAAACGCATTCGCTTTTCACAGTCTGCTGGGACTATATATTTTGTGTACATTTTGTTTCACTCCCGATTTTTGACGCGATGATCGGACTTGTAGGCATTAGTGTAGAAGTCGTAGAATCCATAGAACATGGCAATAATCACGGTGCCAAAGTAGATAATTACTCCCCGAGGTACGCCGCACAGAACGATCTGGGTTGGCAGCTGGACAAGGATGAGGGCGAACTGCACCATTTGGATCACTGTGATGGACTTTTTAATGGGCTGCAAAGTGCGCACTATGGACTTGTCTGCCACCGCTGCTACGAAGTAGTAGGAGTACATGATGATGTGCACAATGGAGTTGAGGAAGGCGCAGAAGTAGGCGGAAGAACCTGAAAAGAACCCAGCCTTAAAAACGAGGATTGTCTACAATGACTCAGAGAATACCATTTTGATTGTAGTGAATCAGCAGATAGACGAGCGTCAAAGTGGCCACATGATGGAAGAGGTGCAGCTTGGTCACCTGGTTCTGTTTCTGGCGCAGCACAAAGATCATAGTCTCCACCAGCTCGGATAGCTTCAGCCAAAATAGGAAGTAGGCCAGGCTGAAGTGTCGCCGCACATTCTCAGTACTTTGGCTCAGTTGGCGGCACTTCCAGAAGTAAATAACACCATTATCCGTAACGAAAAGAATCTGCCAAAGAACTTGAATGTTAATCATGCTGATAATCGTGTCATCCGGCACTGTTTCTTACCTCACGAATGACATAAATACAGGACACCACCTGGATAACATTATGCAGTAGCATAAATTTCTTTAGCTCAAATGGCTTGCGGAACAGCATGAATCTTTAGTAGAAAAAAAGAGGATTTTATGAACAGAGTCTTGTACTGCTCCATACTCACTGCGGAAGGACGCTGTTCACCACGTAAAGGTAGAGGCCCAGCACGGTGATCATAAACCACGGATCCGCCAACAAAAGGGGATGCTTCACCGCCCCATTCAGCAACGTGCCTTTAACGTAGTTTTAAAAAAAAAGTTAATAAGAGTACACAGGACCTTGCCACTGACTTACCTGTAGACGTATCCATGTTCTATTGAAATTCTGATAAACCTGAGTACCAGAGACAAGAGGCTCTGTTTGCTCGAACCCGTGGCGTAAGTCTAAGCGCGAGCAGTTTCTAGTCCACTGCTTTTAATTCCAGACTATGTGTAGAACTGATTGAATTTCATTAAATTGTAGCTTTTCTAGAATACCTAATTGGGCCGATCGGCTTAAGTAAGACCACCAAAGTTCGCCATCTTGACCCTTCCAAGCAACCTGCTCTTTAGCCGAATAATTTTGAAGTGTTCCTCTGACTGAACGACATGATTGTTTCCTTTCATTGAATATCTCTTGCAGTCCAAGGAAAAGATGATAAAGGGCGTGCGCCGGGGCTGTGTGCGGCTGAAAGATGCCCTCATCGGGATCGACGACCAGGAGGACAACACATTCACAATCACGGTGGACCACAAGACCTTCCACTTTCAGGCAAGTAGTCGCAACATGGATGGGTTTTTTTAAACTGAAGAATCCTATTAAAATCAAGTGGCAGTCAAGGTTTGCGTCAATGCCCAAATATATACAAGAAAGAATGCATTTTAAGTAGTCTGGCTACTAATGCTAATCATTTTACTTTGTATTAATTGATTTAATACTACAAAAATATATAAATTTATTTAATTGAAAGCTCCCTCTAATAATTCAAAATAAATTAATTAAAATTCATGAAAAACGGGCTGACTTTTTGTAGCGATTGCGTAACGAGCGGCTAGTTTGAGGCGCCAATGCTTCCGAGCCAATCACGGCTATCCACAGAAACTCATAGCGAGCGAGGTGCTACACGAGTATCCGGGCATCGACCTAAAAAATACCGACTTGCATCACGTTTCTTTCGATTTGTTTAACTTGGCTGCCGCCGCCACGATATAACGATAAAACTTTTACCCACACCATCCACTAAGCCTTGGCAACTTGCAACCGTATCTCAAACAGGCGCGTCACAGCGAGGAGCGGGAGCAGTGGGTGCGCCGTTTGGAGGACACGATTCGGCGCCACGCAAACCGCTCCCGGCTATGGGACAATCAGAGCACCTATTACATCGCCGGTGGCTACACAAAGGAAGGCAGCGCTAGTGGCGCTGTCGGACCAGACGGAGGCAGGAGACAAAACCACCTCGATCTGCTGGCCCGCCGTGTTTCCGAGGCGGACGCCTATCTTCAGCTGATGATAGACCAGACCAATGTAAGTGTTCTGTTATGCAATATTGTCACATTTATTTATGAATAAATGTATACGTTTCAGCTGCTGGAGAAACGTATCGAGGAGCTGGAAGACCCGGCCGAACAGGCCAAGTGCAAGGTGCTGCAGGACAACGCCAATGTACGTAGAAGCGTTCCAGTAGGGCTAGGCATTCGGCTCAGTCAGTCCAATCTCTAGATTAAGCTCGTCCCTGAAGCCGTTCGAAAGCTTTTCCATTTCGCTGTGCGTGAGTCTCCAGTAGTTGGCATCCACTGCCATGAACCGGGCCGTGTCCTGGCTGCTATTGGCCTTGCGCACTCCCACCACGTTACAGGTCCGGACAGCCGCGTCCCGACCGCACAGGAATAGCGTGGCGTTCAACTTGATCTGATTGCAGGGCGTCACCAGCCAAATCACGTAGATCTGATCCTGCCTATTCTCCTGCAGCTGTGCCCTTCTGGCCAGCTTCTTGTCCATTAGTGCTGCATGGACTGCTGTCCGGCAAATGAGGACCACCACGGAAACATGCGTCCTTAGATGCGAGTGCTTGTCCGGCAGGAAGCTGTTGTATATGTGTCGCTTGCGGCTGCTCGGAACAAACTGCTCCTCCAGAAGGCCACCGTAAGCTAGCAGTCCCAAGATCTGGTTGACCCGAAACTCGCACAACTTCGGCTGGAAGGAGAACACCACCCGTTCACCCTCCACCAGGGGCAGGCAGCGTAGCGAGGAGGACAGTTGGGGCTTGTGGTCGCAGAGGTAGTGCAGCAGCAGCACCTGGCTGTCTATCTTCCGGCCGCAGCCTTCGAACAAGCATTTGCTTGTCCCGCAGCTAATTACCAAATCCGGCAGCTCTGCGCCGTCCCCACGATCCTGGCTGGAAGCTTTTTTCGAATTTTTCTCTGCGGGAGCTATATCAATGGCATTGATATCCATTTGTGTCAGGAGGTCGCTCTTCTGCTGGTCGTGGAGCCACTGCATGCCCACACGCAGGTTTTCCATATGGGCGTTTAGTTCCCGGAGATCCGCCGACAAGGTAAACTTCATCTTCAGCCTGCGACTCTGCTCCTGCTGTTCCTCCAGCTTCTGCTTCCTGTACGTCTCGAATTGGGCGTACACATCATCGATGCTGTAGTGCTCGGGGTCGAGAAGACGCGAGGGTGTTAGCCGGCTTGGGTTCAAGGGTTTCTGGGAGTTCTTCATATTTCTGGCTTGGTGTTGCTTGATGAAAAATTTCTGTGGTTATGCTTTGAATTTTGGAAAGTTACACTTTGGATTGAAAGTCAAGTCGAGCCAGCAATGCCAGGGCCAACTAGTATTGATTTCCAATCCACAAGTTCAGGTTGAGGATGCAAGGCGGCATGAGAGAATGCCGATTGCGCAGCAGCTGCAGGAAAGTGCCAGGAGCAGCTGTTATGTTTCGCAAGAAAAAGAGTACCTTTAGTTTCCGGCCTTCCCTGCTTCGAGCCAGGACATTTCAAGTGGCTCCCGCATTCTAGAAGCTCCTCTTTATTTTAGGCCATGCTGGATCACATCAAGCACTCAATCGTCAGCCTACAGATTGCCAAGAACATGGCCCATCCAATCAATGGCATCTACAATGGGCCACCACCGGTGACCGCCTCAACGAGCTCCTCCGTCAGCGTAGCCACCAGTATCAGTAATCTACCATCAGGTGAGCCCAAGTCCGTTACGGGCCAAGGGCCTCCGACTGCCATTGGCGGCGGAAAAGGTGAGCCCTGTGACGACGAGGACGACTCGGTTACGGAGAACGGTAAGCATGATTGTCAAGAAGCCAAGAACATGGTCAAGTGCCTAATCGAAATCCCATCTTCCATTTATATCCCGGACGCAGTTACCACAGCCCCCCTCGGCCTGGTTGTGCCCGAAACCTCGTACTCGAGCAGCGAGGGCGAGGATGACTTCTACGATGCCTACGATGATCCCTTCACTAGCCTTGGTAGCTCCCCGATTGGCTGGTGAGTGGCTCGTGATACATGCTTATGAATTTCATCTCAAAAGGCGCCAGGCGTCCACTGTGCCATCAATCACCAGATGTGGCTATGTGGCTATGCGGCGGCTGCCACAGCAAGCAGGCTGAAATTACGCATTTATGGCCCTCTTGTGCTCGCCGCCTGCTGGCCCCACTCCCCAACGTCCGGTTCCTTCTGGTCCCCCTCCTGCTCCTCAAAAGGAAGCGCATGCGCATGGGCAGTCCCTGCAAAATGCAGTGCCTACGGCCGCCGCCGTCACATTTGCAGTTTTTTTTTGAGGAGAGCCTGTAGTTTCGGTCAAACGGCGTTTAAATAATAGATTCGGGAAGACCTTAGTGCTCTGCTTTGTTTTCGGCAAGAGGCACTACTAGCAGCGCTGACACGGCTTCGTCATCGGAATCGCCGTGGCCATGGTGAACGTCTTGTTGCAGTTGCAGGTCGCCATAGTGTGTGCACAGTTTCTGTTTCGTTCGTGCCCCGCGGGCAGGTACTAGGCTTCGATTTGTCAGATTTCTTCATCCGCGTGAAAGCTCCAGATAACCATGTTGAAAAAGTGGGTGCGTCGCGTTAGCATGAGGTAAGGTTCTAGAATCGAGGGATTCCAGAGTTGTTATGGACGAGTAGGTAGGATGAGGCAGAGGCTTTCGTATACCCCTTAAGGATACACTATCGAAAAGATGGACAAGTTTCAATCTCAATTTTCCATTTCGCAGTGCCACTCGTGGATTCGCGGAATCCACTTCGCCTACCCACGGCAAGGGGCCCGACACCCTTGGGTTGGCTGGTGCCACTGCCGAGTCAGCACCCCTGCCCGATTTCGAAGCCAAGACCCCCCCTGAGCCGACACTGCCAGAAAACACAAGGAGCGTGGCGGATTCCGCGCCCAGGGCAACAGCCACCTGCCGAAGTGACAGCTACGACAATGGAATAGACTACGACGCTCTGTACGAGGAAGAGGAGGAGACGGACCTCAGCATGGAGGCGCACGGTTCGATGATTACCCACTTGCTCTCACAGGTGAAGATTGGCATGGATCTCACCAAGGTGGTGCTTCCCACGTTTATCCTGGAGCGGCGTTCCCTTCTCGAAATGTACGCCGACTACTTTGCCCATCCAGATCTGTTCTTGAGGTGAGCACTACTGCGGTATATCCTTGAGAGTTTTTTTTAATGAAGGATTTTAACAGAATCTCCGAGCTGGATGACCCGCGCGATAGGATAGTCCAGGTATGCCGCTGGTACTTGAGTGCCTACCATGCTGGACGCAAGAGCGCTGTCGCCAAGAAGCCGTACAATCCAATCCTGGGCGAGGTGTTTCAATGCCATTGGGATATTCCGGGTGCGTCTTGATTTGTGGATGTTTCTACTGGGGATTCAACTAATATACATTTCCAGGAGAGACCCCTGATGCCCACGAGGTGCGTGATGGCCCGGTTCCTTGGTGCCGCAGGGACCAGCTAACCTTCTTAGCGGAGCAAGTCTCGCACCATCCGCCAAGTAAGTTATTCCTCCATTATACTTTTTTCTGACTTATCCGGAGAGATGTCTTTCAGTCTCGGCCTTCTATGCGGAGCACTACAACAAGAAAATCACCTTTGCGGCTCACGTCTGGACCAAGTCCAAGTTCTTGGGTCTTTCGATTGGAGTGCACAACATTGGCGAGGGCGTAGTCACCTTGGTGGACCGCAGCGAGGAATACATAGTAACCTTTCCCAACGGCTACGGCAGGTGGGTCGACGGACTTAGTACTCAGTGCACACCCTGCGATCCTAAACTTGGTCATCTCTTTTAGGTCCATTTTGACGGTGCCTTGGATCGAGCTAGGTGGTTCTGTGGAGATCAAGTGCCCCCAGACGGGCTATTACGCGAATGTGGAGTTCCTCACGAAGCCCTTCTACGGCGGTAAGCGGAACAAGGTCACAACCGAGGTAGGTACACCCGTAACTGAGTGGGAATCAATGCTAACTACTGTTTATTTGTCAGGTTTATGCTCCCAGCGAAAAGAAACCCTTTGTATCGATTGCCGGCGAGTGGAGCGGCTTGATGGAAGCCAAGTGGCACGATAAAAATGTGAGTTGGAGTGAGCTTCCACTTTCCATTTGATGTGTTTCCTGTTTTTGTAGACAATTGTACAAATCAATTTAATACTTTTCCGTAAATGTTGATCCTTTTTACCTACGCATTTAACTGCTGCCTCAAACCAACCCCTCGAGTGGACAGCCACATCCACTGTACTATATCCTACAACCTACAACATATTTCCACGATTATTCTGCTTCTCTCTTAAATAGTTCGGGATCATTTCCTGTGTGTGTTTACTTTGTTTGTCTAGAAAATCCAATCCACCTTTTGTAACTACCCCTGCCTGCTGTTACCATTTAGAATATTATCCATCGACCGGTGACCTCCCACTGATCCATCAATCTGAACGAAATCTCTTGCATTTTCTAGAAAACCGAAGTATTCGTCGACGTAAATCGCATACCCATATTTAAGAAACAAGTTCGACCAATCGTTGAGCAGGATGAGTACGAATCGCGTCGAGTATGGAAGGAAGTGACGGCGGGACTCAAGTAAACATACCACCATTAATAGAATATTAATCGCTATCCTTGAGGTAACGTGAACTGTGATTTTTAATCCCTTTCCACTGCTCTTCCTCAGATTCAATGACATCGAACGCGCCACCAATGCCAAATTCGTGGTGGAGCAACAGCAGCGGGACCAGGCCAAAGTACGCAAGGAGTACGACCTGGCCTGGGAGCACAAGGTACTCTCCTTGAATCTAAATATTGATAGCCATTTTAAACAAGTTCTTCTCTCTGATTAGCACTTTAAGCCAGTGGGCGACAACTGGATCTATGCCAAGCCACTGAGCCAGCGCATGTATCTGCAGGAGAAGGAGGCTAAGAGATAATGTTGGCGGTTGCCAATGCCTGTTTATTTGGATCATATCAAGAACGAGCCTCTGCTATATATATTAAATTCCACAAGTGCGCAAACTTCGGATTACTCTAACGATACAACGTAAACAAGTCAGGATTTGTGATGATTCGGTCTGGTCTGGTTATGAATTATTGTAAATAGTGAAACAGACCAGAAGTGGAAGCCTGATCGCAATGAAAGGCAGTTACAGATTGAACAAATTTTGTTTTCTATTATTAAGAACTAGTGTGTTTCAAGAAGCAATCGCAATACTGCAAAACACGAACACCTTTTACACTAATAATTAGTTAACTAGCTGCAACTGCAAAGAGTAACCGCAACCAATACACAATATGGGAATATCAAAAAGTTGTAGACTACAGAATTGGTAAATACATAATTAAGGATAGAAACTATTTTTGAAATAAAAGACTCTTCTATAGACGAAACCCAATACCGGCATATGCATACGATACGGCAATTAGCTTGCTTCTCTAGTTACCCAAGATCCCAGACCCCCAGACAGACACTGCACAATAATTTTTCCAATTCATAGTGTTAACTATACGAATACCTCTAGTATTATATTTTAAATTAAATTCCAAAACGTCACGATGATAAAATAAAAAGCTTTACTAACAGTTCACTAAACCAGATAAGTCCTCCCCCCAAAAACAAAAAACTAAAACACACACCGAATGCTACGCTTACAACGTTTATATATTGTTTTAAACTTTATTTTAATCGAAACAGTGATAAATCACAAATTGTACCGGAGACAAAATAAAATTATAGAAAAATAAATTTTATTCAAAGAAGTTACTGCGTTTTTTTGTTTATTGTCGAATAAGCATGATTTTGAGAATTTGAATATTGTGGCAGTTAGTTTTTGGTGTGACCATCCTCTCCACATATTCTTTTAGGCGTTTCGTCAGGCAAAGCTGTTTTAAGACGCACGGGCACTCTAATTGACGTGGCCTCAAAATTTCGGGTGAAAAAATGCAAAAAGTTTGCATTGTTTAATAGTTAATTGTGTCAGGCCAGCTTCGAACTGTACGCCGAAACCTAAATGCTCCAAGGAGTCCAGTCCGCCAACAGATTATCCTGAATCCAAACCAATCCACGGAAAAGGAAGCACCAGAAAGGGAGAAAGAAAGAAGAGTTCAGGGCAGTGCCGTCTCTGTGAAAATATTTTCTTTGATTCGGACACGCGGCGGCGAGTCCTTTGGAGGAGTGGGCCAACCATCGAAAGTGGGACAACCTCCAGTTGCTGATAGTTTGACCCGCACAGAGCGCCCTGAGACCCTGAAAGAGCCGTCACAGCCAATCAGGGGTGGAAGAAGAAGCACAGCTACAAAGTGCAAGTGCTGATCAAGGGATCTTCTCAGTCAGTGTGGCTTGGATGCCAGTGTGGAAACCGTTACTGTGACTAAGGTGATTTGATAAATGAATGAATGAACGCTGTCATGGATCTGGGTCGGACCCACATACGCAGCCAGTGTGGGACCTTGGGCGGGGTGGGTATTGGGTTGAGGTCAACCCAATAGGGTTCACGTCATCAATAATTGTGCTGGTTTTGTGGACTGCAGTCCCTTGGCCGGAACTTCCTTGTTATCGTCGCTTCTGGCTTCCGGTGACCGCCTTCCACCTGCGATCTCCGCCTTCGAGGTCAACACACATCACAGTTGTATCGTCAGCTTCGGCATTGTTGGTGTTGTTGTTGTTGTGCTCAAAGCTGTTTAAACACCAGCGTATTTCCGACATAATGTTGACGTAGACACTAAGCCCAAATACCTATGTAAACATATCGTTGTCTGGTCGGAGGTAGAAGAGGTAGAAGACGGCAATAAGCGCTGTGATAGCAGACCGACCGAAATTCGCAAATAGCTGCAGCAGGTGCACTGGTTGTAGATTGATTGGAGGGAACCCAGTCGAGTGCACGTTTCAGAGCGACTACATGTAGCGTATTTCGCATATCGGCATTAAACGATAAGATAAGAGATAGTGGGAGGCCCTTTCGGAGACCGTAACCTTCGGTGATAATCTTATCTATCCCCAACCAACTAACTATACCCTGTTGTACATTTTCAGAACGCGGAACCTATGAATTAGAGTAGCATGTCTGCTTACAATTCAAATTACTTGCCACCCTCCTGCGCCTCGATGCCACTGAATGGGAACAACTTGATGAATGGACTGCCAGGAGCGGGCCCGCAGCCACATCAGCAGCAACAGCCACACCAACCACCACCACCAACAGCTTCGAGTCAGCAGCTCTACCAGCCCCAGGCTCAGGGCCAGCAACTGCCGCCGGTATCTCAAGCAGCCTCGTATCCAGGAGGAGGAGGGGCAGGAGCACCTAATCTGCCGCCCACGTCACCGTTCAACACCAACATTACACAAAAGTTTTTGCCGCCCACGTCTGCTGCTCACCTACCTTTGCCACAGACAGCCCCTGTCAACAACGGGCCGTTTTACACCAACGGTGACGCCAAGAGCGCGCCCAGCGCGGAATCCTCGCGGACCAACTCTTCCGGGCAGCTGCATCCAACCCATCCCCCGCCGGCGTCGGGATTGCGCCCGGCACCACCACCCAACACCCAGCCTGTGGCCAACTTGGCATCCAAGTTGCAGAGCTTAGACTTGAACCAGCACCGCGCCAATGGAGGAGGCGCGCCACTGCCGCCGCCGGTGCACAAGGGCGTGGCCCAGGCTCAGGGATGCTCTTCACTGACTCAACCGCCCGGTGGCATTGTGGGAGCCCCAACCACAGTGCCGAATGTCATACCGGATCCATTCAACGGCCAGAAGCCGCCCAATTTGCAACCAAATCCGCCGAAGATGTTCGGGCTGCCGTCATCGGGGCCTCCCTCTAGACCCGTGCAGCCGCCTGGTGCCTCCGAGAGAATACCCTACGGAATGCCCCCTCAGGTGAACAGCGACCATAGCTATCAGCAGCAGCAGAATCAGCAGAACAATAACTTGCAACGGGCAGCTTTGCCGCCGGGAGCCAGCGGAACTGCTTGGCCAGGATCACCAGCCCAGCCGCCACCGAAACCTCTGGCCCCCCCTCCAGTGCAGCCTCCAGCTCCTTCCAAGCAGCAGCCGTACCCCATGGCTCCAACGTATCCTCCGGCGCCTCTCCAGCAACCCATAATACCCAAGCCCATGGCCGGCGTGCAACCACCTCCTCCAGGCATGTTCGGGACCCAGCCGACTAGTGCTCCGCTGCAGTACCAGGCCCAACCACCGCCCCAAGCCTACGCCCAGCAACAGCCCGTTCAGGCGGCGTACAACTCGCCTGCGCCGCTGAACGTAACCCAGCAGGGCTTTAGCCGGCTGTGGGGCCAGGACACCATTGACTTGATGCAGAACCGGCACATCCTTTCGCCAGCGACCATACCGCCTCCGAAGATCGTTCTGCACAACCAGTTCCACGAGTCGATCAACTGCAATCCGAGCATCATGCGCTGCACTCTCACCAAGATACCTGAAAGTAACTCGCTGCTCCAGAAGTCTCGTTTGCCCCTCGGCATTGTGATTCATCCCTTCCGGGATGTGAATGTAAGTAGAGATCGGCCTCTTTTTGAAACTGATACTGATGATTGGTGTCTTGCAGAGCCTACCCGTGATTCAGTGCATCAACATTGTGCGCTGCCGGCTGTGCCGCACCTACATCAACCCATTCGTCTACTTTGTGGACAGCAAGATGTGGAAATGCAATCTGTGCTATCGAGTCAATGAACGTAAGTATCTGCTCCTAAACCAGAAGAACCAAAACTTTATATTTCCTTCTCGCTTAGTGCCTGACGACTTCCAGTTCGACCCGGCCACCAAGACCTACGGCGACGTGACCCGCCGGCCCGAGGTGCGCTCGAGCACCATAGAGTTCATAGCTCCGTCGGAGTACATGCTGCGCCCGCCCCAGCCGGCCATGTATCTGTTCCTCTTCGATGTCTCGATCATTGCCCAGCAGAGTGGGTACCTGGAAGCAGCCTGTGCTGTCTTGAATCGCCATTTGGACGAGATGCCTGGCGATGCGCGAACCCAGGTGGGCTTCATCTGCTACGATAGCTTCGTACACTTCTACAGCATGGCCGAGGGCTTCAACCAGCCGCACGAGATGACCCTGCTGGACATTGAGGATCCCTTCCTGCCGCGGCCCGACAGCCTGCTGGTGAACCTGAAGGAGTGCAAGGAGCTGGTGCGCGACTTGCTGAAGCAGCTGCCAAAACGATTCGCCAACACCCACGATCCCGGCTCTGCCCTGGGTGCCGCCCTGCAGGTGGCCTTCAAGTTGATGGTGAGTTGGTCTCCTCCAGTCAGGCGGAGTATTTGGTAATCCTGGTACTTCATTTTCCAGCAAGCTTCGGGTGGCCGCATCACGGTCTTTCAATCGTGCCTTCCCAACAAGGGGCCGGGAGCTCTGGAGCCTCGTGAGGATCCCAACAACCGCTCGGCCAAGGACGTAGCGCACCTGAATCCCGCTACCGATTTCTACAAGCGCTTTGCTCTCGAGTGCTCCGGCTACCAGATAGCCTGCGACCTGTTTCTGATGAACCAACAGTACAGCGACATGGCCACCATATGTAACTACAATAATCCTTAACACCTGACCACTGTTCACCCAATCCCTTCCTGTTTGCAGCTGGAATTAGCAAGCACAGCGGCGGATGCGTCCATCACTTCCCCCTCTATCAAAAGACTAAGCCCCACATGGTAGACTCCTTCCGCACGTGCTTTAAGCGATACCTCACCCGGAAGATTGGCTTCGAGGCGGTAATGCGTATAAGATGCACTCGCGGACTTCAGGTTCACACATTCCACGGGAACTTCTTTGTGCGCTCGACAGATCTACTCTCTCTGCCGAACGTAAACCCGGACGCAGGCTACGGGATGCAGATCTCCTACGACGAGAATCTGACGGACGTGAAGACAATATGCTTTCAGGCAGCGCTCCTCTACACGAACAGCGAGGGCGAAAGGCGTATTCGTGTACATACGGTGTGCCTTCCGGTTACGGCATCATTGCCGGAGGTAATGCACTCCGCGGACACGGAAGCGATTGTGGGGCTGCTGAGTAAGATGGCCGTGGATCGGTCGGTGACCTCCAACTTGTCGGATGCACGCGATGCGTTCATCAATGCCACTATCGACGTATTCAACTCGTTCAAGATTGCCCAAAACCTTCCATCCGGGCAGTCGGGTCAGCTGATAGCCCCTCGAAGCTTGGCGCTGCTACCACTCTACATTCTTGGACTCCTCAAACATGTAAGTTGCCATTGGATACCATCAGAAGATCCGAAATGAAGACTTCTTTTTACAGCCCGCCTTCCGTGTGGGCACCAGCACGCGACTGGATGACCGCGTCTTCGCCATGGACTGCATGAAGACGCTGCCACTGGACCAACTCATGAAGTATGTGTATCCGGAATTGTACAAAATCGATCCTCTCATATACCATGCTCGAAACACGACCGCTATCTCGACGCCCGAGGACGACGAAGAGGACGACCAGCTTCCCGAGCTGCAGCGCCTGCAACTCTCCGCGGAGCAGTAGGTTTCCTTCGATTCGATTCTTTGACTTTCGCTAATCGAGACTATATTTGACAGTTTGGACTCTCGATCCATATTCCTGATGGACTGCGGCACACTGATAATGCTATACGTCGGCTTGAACGTGCCCTCCAATGTGCTGGAGGCTCTTCTGGGTAAGATCGATGCGTTATCCAGAAATGGAACTGTTGGCACTGACAATTCTCTTTCCAATTTCAGGTATCAGCTCCACGGCAGAGCTGAGTGACTATGTATACGGATTGCCAAATGTTGTGAGCCCGGAGAACGATGTGCTGAAGCGTTTTATTGCGCGACTCAATTATGATAAGCCTTACTCAGCTCTGGTGCAGATAATCAGGTAAATACTGCCTTCTATATTCAAGGAACTGTCTATAATCCTCATTTTCAAATCAACAGGGACACGAGTACAGCCAAGGGACAATTCATCGAGAGATTAACCGACGATCGCAGTGAATCTAGTTTATCGTACTATGAATTTTTGCAACACATTAGGGCTCAGGTTAAATAGTATATGAATAAGGAATCCCACAACCATTATTGTATCCACCATAAACATAACCTAAAACGAAGAACCCTGGTGACTAAAAACCGATTCAGGAATGTAGGTAATGGCTAGCGAGACTGGCAACAAACTTTTCTATTGTCATTCGACTTAGGGTAATTAAAAAAAAAAAAGTGCATGTTTTATTTATTTGTTGATTTGTTGCACTTAAAAATAAAAAATTTACAACAAAAATTTGTCACAACCTAAAGTAGAGCTTTCGTTTGATGACGTCGCGGAGAACATAAGTCAAATGTCAGGTCATAAGTCAGGCCAGGGCTGTAGTAGAACTCCCAGCAGGCGATTGTGCTGCAATGTTATTTATTATAGATATGTTATATGAAATAAACTAACAATAAACTGTTGTAAAATTATACATTTTGTTTGCAAAACCGCTTTAAACATTCTGCAAATCACGAGCCTGTATTATTATCGCTTTTCGATTATAATTTTCCTATTTTTTTCATTAATTATATTCACATACGCTATATAGAGATCCGGGCTCCTCGAGCCTTGCGAGAAAATCTTATTTATAAGTCGAATGAATGTCGCAGTGTTTATCGGTAGTTAGAAAACTTATTTCAGAACCTGAATGTAAGCGAAAATTTTGGTATTGGACTGCTATAGTACTGCATCAATAAATAAATTATAAAATAAAAAACGAAAGTCATAAAAAAATTATTCGAGGCGAGGCAGTTAGAAGTCGAAAAAAGTATATACTTATTGTAAAATATTTTAGACACCTACAACTGGATCCATATATATCGAAAAATACGTTTTAATTAAACCGTAGAAGAAAAATACACTTTTTATTGTAAAATTAAGGATGTAAGGAGGGTTTTCGTAGAGAAGTGGGAGTTGGGATTCCCTAGCCGATCTTATAACTTGACAGGTTTGAAACTATTCCTATTGGCTTGATATCTGCATTAATGGATAACTGCACAGGCGATCCTTTATCTCAAGCCCGAGATCTTTTCCAAAAGGCAGAATCCTTCCCCAATAGGAATTGAGTCCTCCTCTCATCACCGAAAGTGGAGCAAACCCCTCCAGACTTGGAACAATGGCTATAGGAGCATCAAAAACACAGAATTTTAAAAGTAATTCCTTAGAACCGTACGCCCCGATCAGGTTCATTGTGTTCTGAATACTTCTGCCTGCTCCAAACCTCCGCGTATGGGCCAATCCTCCAGCTTTCTCCAGAGGATTGGAAAATCTAACCTCACGAACCCCAAAACACACACAAAAGAAAGCTTATCAAATATCCGGTAATAGGTATTGTATTATGGAAATTTTAAATGCTATTAACTAAGTTAAACCGGATTGGGATAACGCCTCATGTACTTGTTGAGTTGCTTGTAGTTCAGGTTGCTTCCTGGCTGGACGATGCCCTGGTTCACCGTCTTTTTCGCCTCAAACTTGCGGTCCATGTAGCACTTGAAGCATTTCTGGAATTGGTTTATCTCCTTGCTACAGTACTTCTCCGTGAACTCGTTGTCCTTCAGGCAGGCGAAAAGTTGACCCATCTCCTGCAGGCAGGCCACATCCGAGCCGGAATCGGCCTTGCCGCTCACTGTGTTCTTGAGGCGGAGTGGCAGGATCTCCTGGAATGGCACATCTGTCTCGCTTTGCGGCGCCCGGCCACGGGCGGCGAACAGGGCTCCAGGAACTCGCATCTCGTAAGGTTTAAGTAATTCTTGAAAGGAAATAGTCCTCCTGTTCCAGGCCCTCTCCACACAACAGCTGTTGAGTGTTACGTCACAAATCGTTTTCCAACACCGTTTCCAACACTATAAAAAGAAAACGTAATCAAAGATACCCTCGTAATAAACGTAAGCAACATATGTTTCCGTTACGTGACAGAACGTTTAGCAACACTGCTTAGTGCGCACGCCTTGCCTACCGCTGTTGCTTTCCATCCCTGGCTGACTAGCCTGGATCCAAACAAAAACGCAGAATCGGATCATGGAAGCCACTACGGATCCGCCTCCGCAGCCACAGCCGCCACTCTGCCAGGCGCCTCGCCCCCAATCCCCTCCCGTGGCCGCTGAACAGGATCCGCCAGAGATTGCGTGGGAGGCAGGGACTACATCGCATTCCAGCCGCAAGCGACAGCTGAGCCGCTTCCATCCATACCATGGTTCTAATATACAGCTTGGTGACGACGCCACCGTTGCGTATCGCCGGGCTAGCTTTGCCGATGCCCTTACATTCTCGGAGCGCCCGTTGGCGCCTGGCGACATCTTTCTGGTGGAGATTGAAAAGATTGAGCGCGGGTGGTCGGGACACATGCGCCTTGGCCTAACAGAACTTACACCCAATGTGATCCGGACCAGCAGTGAGGGCTTACCCCACTTTGCCCTGCCTGACCTGGCCAACCTGGGTAATAGTTGGATCTATCCCATCTCCAAATTCGATATGAACCAGCGTCGAGATCCCACGAGAGACGAAGTTGGAACGGAGACTGAAGGAGCGTCACAAAGTGAGTAAACTTAATCGGATATTGTACGATATCTAATCTTATTGTCCAGGAAACCTTTTGGGCGATGCCACACATGTAAGAACCCCCCGGGGTCTTCTGCCAAAAAGACTACTTCGGCCCGCAATGGGAAACGGCAACGACTCGGATATCCTACTCACAGATACCGGCTCGCGCATTGGTATAATATACGTGCCCACGGTGCAAAGTACCACCAAGGGCGAACTGCACTTCATCATCAACGGGGTGGACCGCGGCCCCGTTTCAACAGACATTCCCCTAAACAGAGCCCCTCTGTTCGTGGTCATCGATGTGTACGGCACCACAAAACAAATTCGAATCATCCAGCTGGAGGGCAGTAAGTAACTTCATCTCCTTGTAGCTCTCAGCCATCTTAAGGTTTATTTTTTTCCAGTCCTTTCGCTTCAGAACGCTTGCCGCAACGTCATCTTGGAGCACTTCTCGACGGAAGCAATTGCCCAACTGCCGCTTCCTGGGAGCATCAAAAGATTCCTGCTGCGCCGCGACTAGAATGCGGTTTAGGGTGGGAAGGGTGGATGTAATGTGCATGAGCGGGGGTCATGGTATGTCTATATATATATTTTGTAAGGCTCCAGCATAGCGCCATTGAAGTGCCCAGAGATGTTCAGTGACCCCGCTCGATATACGATGATGACCCTACGAATTTATTTGTAATTTCTGTAGATATTTTTTATATTTTTTGGTTCAGTTGCCGGTTTAATAGACACCATCCTCCTCCGGACGAGACTATGTTGGAGAACATAACCTCTACGAGGAAACTTGTTCCATTACCTCTAAGTATATATTGTTGATAAATGTTATAAAAAGTGGATCAAGTCTCGGCATCGAAAAGTAGAACTTCGAACGCTAAGAGTTTATTGAAGCCGGGATAACATATAGATTAAAATAAAAAAAACGTAAATGGAAGAAGTCCATATTGATTCGTTACTTTCCGCGATTCTCGGCCAGCTTGGTCTTGAAGATGGCCTTCAGTTCTTCGGCCCCATCGCCGTTTACCTCCTGGTAGTAGGGCAGTTCGGCTAGCTTCTTGAGCCAAGCCTGCAGCTTTGGAAACTTGAACTCGTCGATGGGTGCAGCATCGTTGACGGAGGTGACCGTGGCCACCGCACAGAAATCGGCAATGGTCAGGTCGCTGCCACACAGATAGGGCTCGTCCTTCAGGAAGCCCTCGAGAATCTCCCAGCACTTTTGGATGTAGGCGATCTTGTCGATGGAACAGTCCGTGGAGCCGTAGTACAGGATCGGCTCGTACAAGAAACGCAGGCGGGCGAACAGGTGGCCAGAGTCCAAGTGGAGTCGGGCGTCGACATTGGCCCGCTTCACCAGATCCTTGGGGTAGAGCTGCTGCTGCTCCTGGCCGTACTTCTCCACCAGATAGGCACAGATGGCGTGGGAGTCGATGATCGTGGCCTCGCCATCGATGAGCGTGGGGATCGTGTGCTGGGGGTTCAGCTTGAGGAATTCCGGCGTCAAATGCTCACCCTTCAATAGGTTAATTGGCCTGCACACGGAAATGGGGAGGTGAGTGGGTGCTTCTCGTTAAGTTAATTGAAGCGGGGATGCTCCGGAGGAGACACCTACCTCAGTTCAAGGTCGAGTCCGATCGCCTTGGCCGTGAGCAGGACGGCACGAGATGGGGGGCTCAGGGTGGCGTAGTACAATGCTGGCTTCGACATATTTCACTGAAATTAGTTAATATTTAGAATAGTATTTAGTAGAAAACCCTGGTACTGCCAACCGCATCGACCCCAATGCGCTAGAAGGGCCCTTAGATGTACATATGTATCTAATAACCCAGCAGATCTGAGAGCACGATTACACGGACTTATCAGGGGGGGGGGCGGCCAGTCGAACTGATAACCACAGAGACGGTGGAATCGTTCCAAGTCTGCGGTTATCGGTTCGTACAGCCCTCCCCGGCTCATCTCGCATTTCGCAAAAAAAACAAGATTAAATAAATTTCTTTGCTAAAAAACAAAGCGGAACACACACAGAAATACTGTCAGCGAATTGCCTTAATCATGATGATACACTATACTCGTCTGTGGTCGTATATATATATGTATGTAGATATGTCTGGAGGGGGGGTCTGAATTAGTTTGGCGCACTCACAGCTTTTTCTATGACCGCTCGCAGAGAACTCGGGGACTGAAATGAAGCTAGGAGAACCCAGAACCTCCACAGTGCCGATTGGCGCCCCGCGAGAGCCCCAACCGAGAGAGCCCCACTGTGGAGGCGGGAGCGCCGCTAGTTACTCATTTGGAAACCGCTCTCCCATTACTACTTACCATTTTTTATTCAATTAATTATTGGGTTTGGGAACAGGTTAACTCGTACCGTCTACGAGAAGGTGATTATGCAACATTAGTGCCCCATGTTTCCTTCTATTGGAGGGTGTAATGTGGAAGGCTTTGATCATCACAACAAAGCCCAAAGCCGGCTAATCGTATTTTTCAGGAGGAGATCGAAGGAACTTCGGAAATGTGCTTGGGAGGTTAAGATGGGCCAGTTCGATGGATATTGCTTGGATAATTAATACGATCCTAGAGCGGAATACCTTAAAAGTTTAATAGCTCGATTCTCCATAATTCTGCATCAAAATATAGACCAAGACTTTTTTTCAATTTTTTTTCAAAATTTTTCTGAGCAACCCTCTTCAAAATGTGTAGAAATCCATATATGGCCCCAAAGGATGTCTCTATCTCAGCCAATTCTCACCCGATCCTTAAGCGGGATACCTCAAACGATTTCTGCTTCGATTCTCCATCATTCTGCATCAAAATATGGACCAAGATTTTTTTTCGATAATTTTTCAAAATTTTTCTGAGCAACCCCCTTCAAATTTGTGGAAATCCATATATGGCCCCGAAGGATGTATCTATCTCAGCCAATTCTTATCCAATCCTTGAGCGGGATACCTCAAACGATTTCTGATTCGATTCTCCATCATTCTGCATCAAAATATGGACCAAGATTTTTTTTCGATAATTTTTCAAAATTTTTCTGAGCAACCCCCTTCAAATTTATGAAAATCCATATATGGCCCCGAAGGATGTCTCTATCTCAGCCAATTCTCACCCGATCCTGGAGCGGGATACTTCAAACGATTTCTGCTTCGATTCTCCATCATTCTGCATCAAAATATGGATCAAGATTTTTTTTCGATTATTGTTCAAAATTTTTCTGAGCAACCCCCTTCAAGTTTGTGGAAATCCATATATGGCCCCGAAGGATGTCTCTATCTCAGCCAATTCTTACCCGATCCTTAAGCGGGATACCTCAAACGATTTCTGCTTCGATTCTCCATCATTCTGCATCAAAATATGGATCAAGATTTTTTTTCGATTATTGTTCAAAATTTTTCTGAGCAACCCCCTTCAAGTTTGTGGAAATCCATATATGGCCCCGAAGGATGTCTCTATCTCAGCCAATTCTTACCCGATCCTGGAGCGGGATACCTCAAACGATTTCTGCTTCGATTCTCCATCATTCTGCATCAAAATTTAGATCAAGATTTTTTTCGATAATTTTTCAAAATTTTTCTGAGCAACCCCCTTCAAATTTGGGAAAATCCATATATGGCCCCGAAGGATGTCTCTATCTCAGCCAATTCTCACCCGATCCTTTAGCGGGATACCTCAAACGATTTCTGATTCGATTCTCCATCATTCTGCATCAAAATATGGACCAAGATTTTTTTTCGATAATTTTTCAAAATTTTTCTGAGCAAGCCCCTTCAAATTTGTGGAAATCCATATATGGCCCCGCAGGATGTCTCTATCTCAGCCAATTCTTATCGGATCCTTGAGCGGGATACCTCAAACGATTTCTGCTTCGATTCTCCATCATTCAGCATCAAAATATGGACCAAGATTTTTTTTCGATAATTTTTCAAAATTTTTCTGAGCAAGCCCCTTCAAATTTGTGGAAATCCATATATGGCCCCGAAGGATGTCTCTAGCTCAGCCAATTTTTATCCAATCCTTAAGCGGGATACCTCAAACGATTGCAGCTTCGATTCTCCATCATTCTGCATCAAAACATGGACCAAGATTTTTTTTCGATAATTTTTCAAAATTTTTCTGAGCAAGCCCCTTCAAATTTGTGGAAATCCATATATGGCCCCGAAGGATGTCTCTAGCTCAGCCAATTCTTATCGGATCCTTAAGCGGGATACCTCAAACGATTGCTGCTTCGATTCTTCATCATTCTGCATCAAAACATGGACCAAGATTTTTTTTCGATAATTTTTCAAAATTTTTCTGAGCAACCCCCTTCAAATTTATGATAATCCATATATGGCCCCGAAGGATGTCTCTAGCTCAGCCAATTTTTATCCAATCCTTAAGCGGGATACCTCAAACGATTGCTGCTTCGATTCTCCATCATTCTGCATCAAAATATGGACCAAGATTTTTTTTCAATATTTTTTCAAAAATTTTCTGAGCAACCAAATGAGAGGAAATCTATATATGGCCCCGAAGGATGTCTCTAGCTCAGCCAATGTTGATCCAATACCTCAAACGATTTTTGTTTCAATTTCCCATCAATCTGCAACGTCGGCTATGCTGATGGACCACCTTGAAAATCCATGAAACCCATATATGGTAAGGCTTATATGGGTGATAAGAGTCAGCGATAAGAGAACATAAGCTCGACCCGACATGAGCCAACTAATCAAGACAACAATAGTTTTTTAGAATCAAAAATTTAAAAAGCTTTAGCAAAACCAGCGTTTTAAAATATAATTCAGTACGTAATTGGACAGCAACGGAGCGAGTTTTAAAAAATATTTCCTTAAATTCTTGCACCATGAGTGTAATTCTTTCCATTATTTTAATTGTTGCCGCAGCTTTGACTGCAGCTCCATTGGTAGGACGAAGCACAGGGGTCCAAAAAGCAATAGTCTTCGCTTCAGGAGGTAATATAAGCTTTCGTATATTATCAATTAAAATTCCAAGTTATCACTGTTTTGACAGATTCTAACCCCAATGACAACAAGCCGTCCGCCACGAGGAACTTTTATCTCACCGTGGATGGAGAGCAGTTTGGCGTGTGGCACATGTTGCCTAGCAGTGCCGGAATCCCAGATTTGGACCACGAGGATGAGATGTCTTATTATCATGACGCACTGAGGGATCCAGACGCAACCATTATTTTATATCTCCATGGAAATGGTGGCGACAGGGCCAATGGAGGCCGACTGCCGCTTTACAAGCTCCTGAGGAGTCTTAATTACCACGTGTTTGCCATCGACTACCGAAGTTATGGGGACTCGGACGACACATACCTCTCGGAAGAAAGTGTGGTGGCGGATGCCTTGAAGACGTACGAATATATTACTGATCGCACAGATAGGCCCATCTTTATTTGGGGCCATTCCCTTGGAACCGCTGTCGCCACGCACATGTGTTCGGACCTTCAACGATTGGGAAAGCCTTCTCCAAAAGGAGTGATCCTTGAGGCGCCCTTCACCAATATGCAGGATGAGTTAAGGGGGAATAGTTTCGGGAATATCATGAGTTACCATCCGCTCTTTAAATTCGGCGTGGCGGATGCCATTTATAAAAACAAACTTCGTTTTGAGTCGGACGAGCACATCCTGGAATTTTCGGCACCTGTTATGATTCTCCATGCAAGGGACGACGTCGTGGTGCCGTACGATTTGGGACATCGTTTGTATTTGATCGGTAGCTCGCAGAGACTTTCGGGAACTGGACCTGTGGAGTTCCATTCATTCGACGAAAATCGCGAATTCGGTCATATGGAAATATATAGGGCTCCGGAGCTGAAAGGTCTTGTGGAAAATTTTGTCCATAAATACAGGGAAAAGAAGTTTGCCGAATATTATTATGATCATAAAATATCAAAAATGTTAGAAGCAATAAATAATGCAATGTCAACGATTTATCTACCAATTAAGACTACCAATAAAGACTAAAGTTTTTAATAAAAATATTTAACTGTAGTATATTTCTATTCAATATTACATGTTTTGTTTATAAATTATAAATCGGGAAATGTAACCACATAGATTTCCGTGGCCTACTTTTTTGGGCGCCTTGAAGTCTATGATTGATGAAGAGTAATCCTTTACCGTTTGTTTCCATATGATAACATTCCGGAAGCTGGTTTAATTTGGCAGTAATTTAATAAAAATTAAAAAGAACAATTTTTTTTTTTAAGTGCCCTCCTCCTTGATTCTTATAAGCTGCACTTAAGCTATCCCGAAAATCGGAAAAAAATTATTTTTTTGTATGGTAAGTTTTCTTTTCTTTGTTGTAATTGTAATTTTTATGTTTTTGTAAAATTGGTTGTTGTTCCTATTTTAGTTTAGTTCATATATATTTTTTTTTCTTTATTGTTTGGCAGTTATTATTATTGATATTAAAAAAGATAGAGGTTACAGAACTAGACTAAATTAATGACACGGTATATACATATGCATACATGTTCTGTCTTAACTCAATATTTAACAGTTTTCTATCTGTACATTTAATTAGGCTTCTAAAATTTTTGCAATTATATCCGACTATATCCTATAGCTCACATCTATGTATCTATCTTCTGGGTTTTTCTATCTTTTCATTTTTAATTCAAAATTCTGTTTTTCTCCATTTAAATTCAAATTTCGATGAAAATATCGATATTTTTTCTGGCAACACCACCGCTCATAAAAATACCAAAAAACTACCAAAAAAATCTTGTTTTCATCTGACAGTGTGACCATTCCACATTTCTTTCGAAATACCATGCAACAGTGTGCCCACCCCTAGGAACTTTATTTCCGCCTGTTTTATCTCCCTTGTAATTATTGTTGTAATTTTTTTTCAATTTCAACTGGAGCGGTTCGGCCCGGACGGTGAAAACTGAGAAAACCTTAAAAATCGCGTCGTTCCAATGAATCGCCGGGAAAGGCCGTGAATCAAAACTACTTGGCACCGCGATAAAGTCATCAAAAAGAGAGTGTTTTCAGTAAGAAAAGGCCGCCTTTGTGATTTGTTTGGTGCTGTCGCGGAAAATGTTACCATCGCCATCGAGTCGCTGTGAGTGTGTTTGAAAAGCAAACAAAAGGCCAATACAGCGCGAAATAAATGTGAAAAGGAAGATTACTTTTGTGTGCCTGGTCTTGTGCCGTTAGGAATATATATCTTAGCCAGAATCCTGGGCCATAAAAACAAAAATAAAACTCCATTTCGCGACCAAAGAGCGAGAGAGAGAAGGAGAAAAAAAAATTTGTGTCTCTACTCCTTGAAAAGGAGTTTGCTGCTGCTCTCCCTTACACTCCCACACTCTGTCGTCCCCCGTCTCTCTTCCTCTCTTGCTGCCTCATTCGGCCGAGCTGGGTCCGGGGTGTTCAGCAGTGTGTTGCAAATTAAATTTAAATAAAAGTTTAATTAATAATTAATTCTAAATCGCCAGAGAGAAAGGAAGTGCATCCCACTCTCTCTCTCTCTCTCTCTCTGACTCGCTCAGGGGGCAGGAGCGGAAGGAGACCAAAGGAGAATCAAGAGGAAGCAGCAGACGCAGACGCCGCCGCCGCCACCTCTGCTTGCACCAACACTAACGCATTTTCTTCTGTGGAAACGGAATCGACCAAAAATGTTGTGGTAAGTTTTTCCTTCTATTTTTTTTTTTTTTTTTGCAAAATTTATTTTTAATTCGGGAGTTCTGTTTTCGGTTTTCCATTTAGGCCTTTTTTCCTTTTCTGCGCATGTTTTGTTTCACAAATTCGTAGACTTCCGCTTTTTTGGGCTGCTGCTTCTGGTGCTTCTTCTTCTTTTACCACAAACACGCCCTTTTTTGCGCACCTCGCCCCGCATGCGTGTACTGCCTACGAGTGTATGTGTGTGTGTGAGTGCAGTTTCTGGGCAGTTTCCTTTTTGCATTTTCCGGCATCCGAATTCGCGCAAATTGGTCGGCCCTTAAAGCCAACTCGGAACAGCTGTCGCCTCGTCTTCTTGGCCGCCAAACCAGTTTTCTTTTTTATCTGCTAGGTGTGGTGGGGGGTGGTAGGGGGGGGGGTAGTGGGGCAGCTGGTCTTTTGCTTTAATTGGCTCTTCTGCTTTGTACCCCGTTTCTGCCATTGTTGTTTTTGTTATTCTCCTTGTTTTGGGCTGCAGTGCCGCCGCTGCTGCCGCTGCTTCTTCTTCTTCTTCTCTTGCCGCAAAACAAACAAAAACCTGCCATTTGAGGGGAGTGGGAGTGGGGGGCAGACAAGAAAGAGAGAGAGGAGCAGAGCCTCGGCAAGAGAGAGAGAGAGATGCGCAGATTGTGCGGGTGGGGCAGCCTCATTTGCTTCCTCTTGCTGGATGAGGCTCCAGTGTTTGTTTGAACTTTAATTTATGCCACACAGCTCCTCCAGTCGATGTTGCAACACTCCCTTCCCCCTCCCCCCCTTTGGTGCAACATTTAAATGTCAATGCACCAGCAGCAGGAGCAGCAACTGAGGCTACATCTACTTTAGCCCTGAAATGGCAGCCAACTGCCATGACTCATTTTGGCTTTTATGCTTGCTGCCAAATGAAGCGGGCCAAAGACCTGCAGCCACACACACACACACACTTACACTCGTACACTCTCCCAAAACAAAGGAGCCCCCCCACCAACAACAACAACACCCATAGGGCCGAAAACCCGTTCCAAAATAAGCAATCTTGGCAGAGGTTCCACTGTACCTCTGGATTTGCATGCCACTCACTGACTAAGTCACTACCTACCTAGCTACCTACTACTCCTATTTTCTTCTCTTCCCTCTTCCGCCCCGGGGTCTGGGTCTTCCCCGCGGACCAGGCCCGAAACACATGGCCTCGTGCAACGCGGATTTCAAATTTTGTAATTGTTGCATTAGAACCCGAGAAGGGGGAGGAGTAGGTGCTGCGATAGAGAAAGAGGGTGTGACGACACAGTTATCTGAACACCGTTAGCCCAGTTTTCAGGCCACCTCCACCAGCTGCCGTCTGCCGCCAGCCGCCTGCCTCAGGCCCCAACTGCAATTGCGAGCCCCGGCTACTGCCCAGATAAGATAACCAAAAAAAAAAGAAAACAGCGCACACATGTCCTACGAGTGGCTTTTAAAGGGGGGGTTAGTGTTCTCATTCTATTTTATTTTTAATTTTTGTATTTCCAAATAAGGTCTAAAGTTTTAAGATTTAGTGTCAAGTTTTAGGTGGTTTTTTGAGAGTTTCTAGGGGGTATCCCATCATAACTCAAGAACTACCCTACCCTTTTTCTTTAAATTTGGGATACAGTTTTGAAATATAAAATAACAACGACCCCTGAGGAGTTTAGTTTTAATTTGTATTTTGTATTGTATGTTAGCGGGGTCTTCCCATCATAACTCAAGGACTACATCACCGATTCTTTTGAAATTTGGGATAGGGCTTAGAAATGTATATTAACAGTTAACTCTGAAGAGTTTAGTTTTAATTTGTTAATATTTTTAATATGAAAGGAAGTAAACCTCCTTTTCTATTTTCAATGTACTCGCTTTTAAGGGGGTTATAGTGTTTTTCATTTTATTTTATTTATCCTTTTTTTTTTATTTTCCAATATTTCTTAAAATCTCAAGATCTAGTGACTAGTTTTTGATGTTCTTTTGAGGATTTCTAGAGAGTTTCCCATGATAACTCAAGAACTACACTACAGATTGCTTTGAAATTTGGGATACAGTTTCTATATTTAAATTACCAGTTAACGCCAGTAAATTACCAGTAATTTTTACAAGTATTTATAAATATTTATAATATGTAGGGTATAAGGGAAAATAAACATTTTTGTCTATTTTAAATGATTTTTAAAACCTAAAAATTTGGTATTTAGACAAACTATCATATCATTTTCTGGGAAATCACTTTAATTTTTACAATTTAGATGATCCAGAATAGAGTTAGGATGCGAAAAGCCCTATATTCAGGTTCCTTCTTTGAAAATTTACACAATTCCCTTAAAAAACCCCTTAAATGTAAAGCTTAATAGTCCTACTATAATCAAATACATAGAAAGTTTCCAATACACTGAGTTTCCTTAGAAAATAATCATCAATTACTTTTAATGATTTTTTCAAGAGAATTAATGTAGTACCCCCCTTGTTCCATTTCCCGTTTATCATTTATTTTTTTGTGTAAATTGTAGTTTATCTTTTGAATTTTAAAGGAAAGTAAAGTTGCCAAATCAAAGCCCCTGAAGCTCGGTGGTGTTTTGTTTATTTCTTATGGATTTTATGACTAAACTGATGTTTGGGTATTCGGGGGGAAATTCCAGGTACTGCTGGCTGGCTGATGCACTAAAAAGAAACTACTTGGAACCGAAACAACAACAAAAATAAAACCAAAAACCTTTCAAACCAAAAATCTGAATCACAAACTGGACGAGTCAACTTTTTGTTTTTGTGACTAACATGCGTGTTATAGCATTCAGCTTTTGAAAGAGAGTTTAAGAGAGAGAGGGCGATAGGCGAGGAGGCTTGTGGAAGCATTGAACTCTGAACTCTTGAATCCCAAGCGATTGAGAGACACAGCCACCCACATGGAGATGCCACACAAATCCAATTAACATTTCCGCATTGTTCGGTTGTTGGACTGTCCACTTCCTCCCACGTCTGACTTTGATTTGGAATCTTAATGGAGATGCGGGATATCTTGAGAGAAGGGGGTGGATGGGGCATGCCCCGACCCATACCCGGTATTTATCATTTTACCGCTAACTTCCTACCACTTGGCCAAGGAAACAACGGCTTGTGACACAGTTCCTGTGTGCCTCTAACTGAGGCACTGAGAGAAAAGTAGGACTAGATTGGTGGCCATTAGATAGTATAGGATTGGAAGGGTAACCACTTTTCTTTCAGTGCATTTAATAACTATATATATATATAGTTATCGGACGACAAATGCATAATTTATAATCCACACAGACCGCCACTCGGAATCGGATGTGTGGAACGTGTTTGGGTTTTCTCATTAGAGTGTAGCGCCCCCCTCGCTTAAAAGGGGGGACCTCACTGACTAATTAATATCTTTCGCTGTTGATTCAACAATTGTTTGTGTTTATCTCTCTGGATTGGCGGTCTGTTTTTGAACAGAATCAGTTCGATATTGGAAGTGATTTTCCCCAATGACTCATAAGGGTATATCTTGCATGGATATATCTTATCTTCTGGGAAGGAATGTTATCAACCACCATCGTATGTATGTATCTCTTGGGAATATGAGACTATAGATATGGATATATGCCCCACATTGTAAACTGCATAGATGGTCAGAATTTTGCGCTTAGGTGGGCAGCTTTTCTGGCAAGACATGCCAGTGGTTGGTCAGAACCAAGACCGAGTGGCTGGCTCCTCGTACTTGGCCTGGTAATTGCTCTGGCGTTTAACCATTTTTTACGGCCTAGATATTCCACCACAACAAACATGAAGATGGGTAGATGGGTAGCTGGTTCTTCACGCTCTAACGCTTGGCTTGCTCTCTCTCAGTATAGCCCTCTTGGAGATGCAGTGCCTCCGATATGCGCAGCCATATACATAGTTTCTACAAGTGGGGGATTAATTAAAACAAAATTATGATCTCTGCGGCCAATTTGCAACTGTTGGGAGGGGGAGGAGGGGTTCCAGTGCCTCCAGCATTTTTCCAAAATCATTCCGATATTTTTAGCTTCTTGAAATTCCCAGAAAAGCTTTCAAGGTAAACCTGCCAATGGAAGAATAACCCCTCTATAGGGTATGTATCCATATATCGAGAATTCTCGGAATCCAACCCGAAAACCGACTGAAATGAACTCTGGGTAGCCCCACCCCAGGGCACTGGAGATAAAGCCACTATCTGGAGAGCAGCCTCGATCCCGAGTCGGGAAGTACTTGCCGGGTGATAAGCTCCAAGTAGTGACCTCGGTTTGGTTCAGGAATATACTATATAGTATTGTAATAGAACCCATATACCATCACTTGGATACTGATATCCCCCCACAGAGTCGTGGAATTTGAATTCAAAATTGCTTCTCCAACTCGGAGGCAGATTGCATCCCGCTCTGGCACAGTCTCTGGTGGAATTGCAAGCACTTGAAGTGCTTCCGGTCTCTCAGTCTCCAAGTCTGGAGTTTCCACCACCGAGTCGAGTGGAGGGGGAGGGGACCTGGCCTGGGACTTTTCAGCTAAAAGCTGGGCACTTCCTCTATAACTCTGAATTTCGATTTCTTTTTTTTGTCGGTCTTTTGCCTTCTTGGAGGATGGAACTTGAGAACCGAGTGGAGTGGAGTGCCCACAGGTGGCGTTGGTCTGCCCCCCCTCCCTCCTGCCCCCTCTCTGTTCTCTCCACACACACATTCCAATCTTCCTGGACAATTTGTAACTTGAACTCTTTTTGTTGCCGCGATGGAGTGGAGACTATTGTTGTTTTTTTTCGCTCAATTGCAGTGGCTGCTACACTGAGAACAAGTGGGGATACTCCTCCCCTTTCAGGACAAACTTCTAGTCTTGTTTCTCTCAGTGTAGATCCAGATTATAGTATGATTATGATAGTTTTTGTGATGCTCCTCACTTGAACTTTGTGCCGAGGGTGGCTGGAGGCTTCTCCATTGTGTGCCACTGGCAGTGTAATAATTTAATAGACTCTGCCTTTGTGGTGGGAAGTTATAGCTGTCTTTATCAGAGAGGGGAGGGAGGGGGAACATTATTCAATAATTATCGACTAAAAAATAAAAAACACCGATACCCTCCAATGAGTTTGCTTTGTGGAGTGGAAAATAGTGTTCCATTAAGTGCTCCTCAAATATGAAATATTTGGCCACGAATCAGAGCGAAGGGGAGGGCCACACCCACAATCGAAAGTCAGTGACCCACAGAGCAGCACAACTTGTATCTAGTATCTTGTAGGTACATTTAATTATTCGCTACTAGTATCCAAGAAGTCATCCATAATGATGACTTGCCGCTTGGCTGGATCTGTTCTTCGATATGCCTGGGAATCCGGGTCATCTCCAGCATCTGAAGCTTCCCATCCATGCGTCGATTATCGCCAGCAAATCGATCACTTTGGTGGGGTCTTTCAGCAGAAGATCACAAGACCCGCGGAGTACGACCCAAATAAGCAGCCAAATTGCCAGCACAGGTACCTCCTCCAGGGCCCCCAAAGCCAGCAGACAATGCCTGGCCCCAAAACCAGTTACCAGTTACCACCAGCTCCTCCTCTGGTACGAGTTCCCCTTGGGGCAGAGAGCAGCATAATGTGGCGGAGACAACAGAAATTACCGCATAAAGCGAGTGGCAAGAGTGGCAGGAAGACAAATGGAGGGAGGGTCTGGGAGGGTGCGAAGAGTCCAGACTTAATGAGGATTCAGAGCTGGGTGGAGGGCACTGGCCAAAAAGAATAATACAGGGTAGTGATTAAATAATAGTATCTATGGGAAACAGTTCCCTACATCTTGAAGAATAACCTCCTTTGTAGGAAGGTGGATACCCTTTGGAGGTGGGAGAGAGACCCACCTGGAACCTCTCCCGAGACTAGGACCTGACAAATTGTGAATGGCACGCGAGAGGGAACTCAGTGAGTCAACTCCTAACCCACTGACATCATCGGGATGGTCACAGGAATTTCCCAGGAAGCCCCGTGACTTGGAACTAGTGGGATTAGTGAGGCAATCTATGGTAGTTAGGCAGAGTCACCCTCGTGCCAGGTTAAGTGTTGAAGTTTAAACTGGAGCTAGAACTCTGATCCGAAGAGCAGTAACTCCGGCACGGGGGTGACTCTTCCGCCAAAAACCCACCACCACTAGGCCTCTCTCTCGAACCTCCCTGTTCCAAAAGTGCCAAATATTTCACTTGTCCCAGGATTATTGCCCAGGGACTGTCAGGGTGGGTGCGGCCACTCCTCCTGGGGAAGTATCCTGAAGCAGTACATGTGCGCCTCCTTCCCCCTGGCTGGCTGGTGTGTTTTGGTTTGGGAATTGGCGAGAATTAACTCGCAAAATGTTAGCCCATTAACGGGCCACTCTCCATCTCCATCCCCTAAAACCCAGATCTCATTCAGAGACTACCAGGCCCGTTCCTGCAGCAGATCCAGTGTTGCAACAACATTTCCGGCCTCTAAAGCAGCACAAGTGCGTGCTTTTTGAATGAAAGGCGGTTTTTCCCAGGCGGAACTCTATGACGTAAGTGGTGGGGTGGTGGTGGGGTGGCGCGGAACAAACTAGGTCAGAGTTCTTGGCGGGGCGTGGCCGCGAGGGGCGTCCCAGATCTTCAGGTGACCCGATTTTCTATGCAAATACCTTCCACCAACCTTCTCATCTCATCGCGGATTTGTGGCTTTTGTCATTCCGCTCCAGAACGAAAGAAAAAGTCCATAATGGTTCCAATTCCAGGTGATTGTTCTCCCTTGGGGTTATTAATTCATCGTTGGGCTTTCACTTCTCTTCATTCTTTGTTTTTGGGCTTTTATTTCAAGGTTTCTAACAAAACACAGCTTAGCCGATTGTTGACCCCCGATGACCTCTATCTATCCCCTTTTAAATCAATCGCCTCATTACCCAAATGCCTCATAAAATATGGAGTACGACGTGTTTAGAACTATTGGGCCAGCCAGTCATCCAGAAGAGGGATAAGACTAGTTCTCCAGTGGGGGGCAGGAAATTGGCAAGTCTCCCATAGTGGGCCTGTTCCTGCACTTGATTTATGAGCCACCATCTCTAACTGTATCTCTGTTTCCGGTCTCTTGCAGATCTCAAGGCCCTGGAGCTGAGGAACCAACTGGAAGCACCAACTTCCCTCCAAAAGGAACACCAGAAGAAGAACCAGAGACCAGAACTGAGGCAGCCACGACGACAACCGGACCGAAAACCAAATCGAAATGACGTAAGTTACCTACACACACGGCATGGCAATCAATAGATTCTCACTCACTCGGACCTGGTTAGGTAGTATCTGGAAGATGCAAAGATACAAACAACAAGTTGGCTGTCAATCGGTCGTGAAGGACATTTCAATTATGGAGACGACATTTCAGACTTTCATTCAAATTGGTTTCAATTCACAGATTCCCAGAGAATACCCCACCACCACCCAGCACCTCTTGATGAGGTCTAGGTCTTGGGGGGTTGGCCTCTAGTCAGCTCTAGCTCCTGGTTTATTAATCCCCATAATTTGTTTGGTCTAAAAAGAGGGGTGCGGCTTCCAGGTCTGGTTGGTTGGTTGGTCTGGGGGGCCCAGAGCTGGGTCACCCGATAACTGAATTTGTGAATAAGCAGAAAACGCAGCGAGTTTGCGTTTTATTCTCTGTTTTTTTTGGGTGTGTCATCATTAAAATGTTGTCTCCGAGGAAATCCGGCCACAAGCCACCAGCCACTGGCCAGAGGAGGGCTTTAAACTCTGGCCAGAGTCTCTCTGGTCTTTCCTTGAAATGGCAGTTGAATTACGCCGCTCGATGGGTAACATTTGTCCCACGGATCTACTGAATGGGAATATTCCTCCGGCAAGGTAAGGCGCCAGTCTAATAGATCCATCTACCAGTGAAGTGGTGGCCCTAATTGCTGCCATAATTGGGGTCTTATCGAGTGCATTAATCGAGTGGGGGGGTTACTCTCACTCCCCAAAAAAAAAAATAGAACCAAAAGTAGTCTTCAGGAACGGGTTTCGGCTTAACGGACACCTCGGCACACAGCTACTTTAATCCTTCCAAAAGCTGTTTCCAATAAGCTGAAAGGATAACAACCAGGATGAGAACAGGTGCTGCTAAGAAGTGACCCAAATCGAGGCTTAAGAAGACCTGTTTATACCGAAAGTAGAGTCTCTTTTTGGTCAGTGTAGTAACAGCAGGAAGCCCTCCTCCCCTGACGAGTTCATCCCGCAGTGATATTCGATATTGATGGAGACCCCCCTCCTCCTCCATTCCAGATGCCGTGTGTTTGCCCGGAGCCAATGCTGGTAAGACTGGGTCTCTGGTCTCCTGTCTCCCGGCAACCTACTTTGGCGACTCACATGTGTGGGCTTTTGTTTGTTTTGGCTTTCTGGCCATGTGGATTATGGCTTATGTTGGCCCCAAAGAAACATTTAGTTGCCAAATCACTAAAGTCGCTGTCGCGGCACACGCTCTGGTTCAAGACACAAAACCAGATCCGATCCAGAGCCGATTCCAACAAAGCCATTAAAGCTAGCCACGATAATCGGAGAACGAGATCGCTGAACCGCCAACAAGAACCACTTACAATGGGCCGCAATAATGTTAATTGGAAATTACGTTTTGGGATTGTAGAGCTAAAGTCTCGGATCTCTCGGAGACCTACAATGTTGTATGAATTTTTCATAAAATGCCTGCCACAAGCTGTGTAGCTGCCCCTCATGCCTCCATACCTCATGCCGCCAAAGGAAAAGAAACTGACTTGTAATAGTCACTCGAGGGGGGAAATATAAATTATTGAGCTCGTTTCTTAAGTAATTATCGCACTGACGGAATGACTGAATGGCGGAATGACTAACTGACTGACTGACGGATGGACTTCGTTTTAAGATTGCCCCGAGGTCTGAGTCTTTCTGAGCATTTATCGCATGACCTTTCAAGGGGTTTACGCGTTTTTCAGAAGAACCAACCTTGTGCTATATATTCTAAGGTCTTGTAAGCCCCAGAAGCCTGGAGCTACTACTGCGCTCCCGACCATCCTAGAGGCTGTGAGTCAGGTTCTGCTCCATCTACCTGTGCCCGGGGTCACCTCACCATACCATTTCTCATTATTTTATTGACTTTGAAGTGTAATTATTTGCCTTTTGGAAGAATTCAAAGCCGGCTCTCTCTCTTGCCTCATTCTCTCTCTTTCTCTTTGTTTGTCTTCGAGGCCAAGAAGACTCTCTGCACTCTCGTAGCCGGATCTCGGCTTCAGTCTCCAGCGAGTCTTGAGTTCGATCGGACGTGCTTCTCGGAGTCGTGATTCGAATTCGATTCCGTGTGAGTGTGTGTGAGTGCCTGTGTGGGATCGATCGTGGGATCGATCAGCTTGGACGCCTCTGCAAATATTGGCCAACACGTCCGGTGTGTTAATGGCCATGAAGAAGCTGTACGCCAAGACCTCCTTCACCAGCAAGAAGCCCTCGAATGTGGCGGCATCCTCGCCCATTCTGGCCTATCACTCGCCCGCGGTGGCCCTGCCCCACTCATCCGGGGAGCTCATCCGGCGCAGCCAGAGCATGCACCACAAGATGTCCCCGCCGCCGGTGGTGGGCAAGGCCTCCGACTACTATAGCATCGAGGAGCTCCAGGAGTTGGATCTGCTCGACTACAGACACCCCATGTACCACCACTACCAGCAGCAGCAGGAGCTCCAACGCCAGCGGTACCACGAGCATGAGCAGTTGGTGCTCCAGCTTCCCAAGGCCAGCCAGAGACCTCAGCCGCAGCAGGATCAGTTGTTGTATGTAGCCCCGAGGGCGACACCAGGGCAGAGTTCATCGATGGTAGAGAGGGTATCTACCACTAACACCGCCTCATCCAGTACTAGCTCATCCTCATCCTCCTCTGTGATCTTCTCCACACTGCGCAAGTGCGTTTCCCCCTCGAATCCGATCGAGAATCCCAAACCCCAGCCCTCCACTAGGCTGGGTCGTAGCTCCATGTCGTTTTCAATTAGAACCACCACAACAGCATCATCTGCAACAGCAGCATCACCACTACCACCAACACACCACCAGCTACAACAACAACAACAACAACAACACAAACAACATCTATATAGCAACATACATCACTTTCTGATGGAACAACAAAAGCTACAACAGCGTCATCACAATTCGGTCAAAGATAGATTCATTGGGGGCATTGCAACGATTCTGGCGTATGTGTAAGACCCACTTCCCGCCCGAATGTCGCTGTCTAGACCCCTTCCCCTCTTATCCACCACCACCCCCTAACTTCCGATCTGTCCTCACGTAGCACTTGGCCTTGGGATCGGGTGCGTTTTTGGGTTGAAATCAAAGAGGTCTTACGCTTGGGCCTCTCTGAACAGCATTTAAAATCATAATTATAATTTAACGCCAATTAAGCTGGAAAACGCTTTCGTGCATCGTGCAACTTGAGCTTAACGCACGAATAAATCCCCATGGCATGCAAAATTTCACCTGCCACACCTCACTAGCATCTCTGTGGAGTTTCTTTTGGGAGTTGCGGGAGATGGCCATTCCGAACCCGAAACTGAGACATTCCTCACGTCTCAAAGTACGTGATTCTAAAAAGCTTACTAGTCTTCCGTTGTGACTAGTAGTCGGTGGTCTAATTCATGAATCACAAAAATTAATCAGAGTATTGTGATATACACAAATATTTTAATTTTAAATTTGATTGACGGCCTTTGTCTTCGAGAGCTGAGCTGCTGAGCATTTTTTTTTATTTTTTTGCTGAGGCAGGCTCATAATACCAAGCTACGATCCGATCCGGCCTGGCCTGTGGTTATATAAGGCCCTGGGACTGGGAGGCATGCACAGCTGTGGCCCGAGAGCTCTCGGTCTCGGATTCGGTCTGTCCGCCTGTCCGTCTGTCCGCGCACTCCATTTAAGTGCAAAACTACTCGCGGCTTTTGGCCGGGCCAACTGCGGGGCCAGAATTGTGCAGACTCGACTCGTTTGGCGGCTGCTCTCCGCCATTATCTCGCTCGCTCGCTTCCCAGTCCCCCAGTAACACACAACTCCAAGCTCCAAGCTCAGCGGTCTACAGAGAGAGAAATGCATGTCTCATCCTAGACCTGCCATTTTAAAGATAATATCAAGTTCTCTCAGTGTAGAAAACCTCATGGAAAGTTGATTAAAGGCAACTCGTCATCGCCTTTGCTGGCCAGGCTTACTTTGTTGGCTTTGTGGCTTTAATTGTCAACCTGGGAAGTGCTGGAAAAAAAATGGTAAAGGTTGCGAGAGCATATTAGAACATTCATTAGAAACAAGACTCTAGACTCTAGACTCCAGACTGCAACTGCAACTGCATGACAGGTGTGTGATCTCGCAAAGAAATGCATAGCACTTCCTGCCTTTCCAACTCCAACTCAGGAGGGCTTGGTGGATCGAGGCCCTTGGCCCCCTGGACAGAGTCGTGTGAAAACTCCAGAGATCACTGTACTATAAACATGAAAGGGGGGTAGGGGGACGGAGAAGAGGAGCTTCTAATGATTGGAAAACTATTTCTCATTAAGACTTTTTCCGAGAAGTCTTAATCGAGTTGGATATTACAAGACGACGTTTCTCTGAACTCGAACATTCCTTCCTGGCAGACATTTTCATTCATTAATCCTGATCTCTACATTCATTCCTCCAAAGTACCATCCATAGTAATCCTTTCAAGATATAACCCCATTTCATCCAAAAATCCTTACGATTTCTTGCAGTGAGCAGAGCATAATCGGAGCGAGAGCCTCCGTGATGGTGTACGATGACAACCAGAAGAAGTGGGTGCCCTCGGGCAGCTCCTCGGGGCTGAGCAAGGTGCAGATCTACCACCACCAGCAGAACAACACCTTCCGGGTGGTGGGACGCAAGCTGCAGGATCACGAGGTGGTCATCAACTGCTCCATACTGAAGGGTCTGAAGTACAACCAGGCCACCGCCACTTTCCATCAATGGCGCGACTCCAAGTTCGTCTATGGCCTTAACTTTTCCAGCCAGAACGATGCGGAGAACTTTGCCAGGGCCATGATGCACGCCCTCGATGTGAGTCCAAGGAGACACCCTCTACAGGAGACACCCGAACTAACCATCTCTGATTTCAGGTCTTGAGCGGCCGGGTGGCCAACAACCCCGGGGGTCAACCCACCAACGGTAATGGCTACGAGGAGGACATGGGCTACCGCACCATGACCAGCGAGGACGCGGCCATTCTGCGCCAGAACAACGGCATCGGTGGCCACATCACGCCCTCCGCCCAGACGCCCACGTCGCAGACGAACCAGAACAACATCCCCCAGAGCCCGCCGACGCCCCAGGGCCACCATCGCACCAGCAGGTAGGTGGCAGCAGCAGGCATCTCATTTTTGTGGGGGAGAAGGGTCAATAGTTCGGGGGTTTCAGTTGGGGGTGACAGTTCAGATCAGATATGGATGGATAGCTGTTAACTGGGCTTCCACGTCTCACTTATCGTTTCATCACTCACATATCCATCCCCACCCACGCCTACTATCCTTTGCTTACCCAAGGAATTCCCTCAGCGCCCCACCGGCTCCACAGCCCCAGCAGCAACAGCAGCAGCAGCAGGCACAGATGGGCCAACCAGGATCCCATTACGGACCCACCGGGAACGGACCAGCCTCCAACGGCCTGCCGCCGCAGGGCAACCCCCAGCAGATTCCACCGGCTCCCCAGCAGCCCCAACAGCAGCCGCAGCAGTTCCAGCAGCCGCCGCAACAACAACAGTATCAGCAGCCACAGATGGTACCGGTCCAGGGAGGATATGCGCCCTCGCAGGTGAGTCCTCGTCGAGCTCGTCCTCGCCCCCATCCCAGAGTCCTCATGTGTGCGGTATTTCTGTTTCATTTCATTGGCAATTGGCTTGATCCTGACTCTCCTGACCACCTGACCACCTGCCCCGCCACCACCAACACCACCACCACCACCACCAACCCACCACTAGCAGTACCAGCAGCCCCACTACGTGCTCTCCAATTCTAATCCCAATCTCACTGTGCATCAATACCCACCACAGCAGCAGGCCCAGCAGCCGCCGCAGGCGCCACAGCCACCGCTCCAGAACGGCGGCATGTACATGGTGGGCCACGGCCACCTGCCCAGCTCCGCGAGCGCCAACAGTGTGGTGTACGCCAGCCAGCAGCAGATGCTTCCGCCCCAGGCGCCGGCGATGCCGGGTCCTGGCTACGGCCTGCCCCCCGGGGCCGTACCTCCCCAGCAACAGCAGCAGCAGGCGGAGAATCCCTACGGCCAGGTGCCCATGCCGCCGCCCATGAATCCGTCGCAGCAGCAGCAGCAGCAGCAGCAGCAGCAACAGCAGCCGCCGCAGCTCAATCGCATGAGCAGCCAGGGGGGAGCGGCGGCTCCGGCCCCACCGCCACCGCCACCAAGCTTCGGTGGAGCACCACCTGCCCCGCCGCAGATGTTTAACGGTGCCCCGCCGCCGCCACAGCCACCGGCACCCCCGGCGCCACCTGCCATGGGCGGAGGTCCACCGGGGCCGCCAGGAGCTGGGCCAGGTGGGCCGGGGGCACCGCCACCACCACCGCCGCCGCCGGGATTGGGTGGAGCGCCCAAGAAGGATGATCCCCAGGCCGATCTCATGGGCTCGCTTGCTTCGCAGCTCCAGCAGTTCAAGCTCAAAAAGAACAAGGTATGGATCGGGGTAGGGTATATCCCTAAATGGCTACTAACTTACTGGATTGGGTTCTTTGTAGTCCACAACATCTGCTCCCGAGAACAGCGGCAGCAGCACCTCTAGTGGCGGCAGTGGCAACTATGGAACCATTGGCCGCAGCTCCAATGGCATGGCCTCCATGATGGACGAGATGGCCAAGACGCTGGCCAGACGTCGAGCTCAAGCCGAGAAGAAGGACGTAAGTGTGGCTGGAGGGGGACTTCCGGCATTGCCAACTAACGCCTCCAATCATTTTCAGCCTGACCCCGAACCTGAGGTGAAGCAACGGCCCTGGGAGAAGTCCAACACACTGCCACACAAGCTGGGCGCCGGCAGCGGCTCTGGAGGAAGTGGCCATGGCGGAGCCAACGGCAGTTCGGGTGGAGCTGGAAGCAACACAACGAACAGCGGCGGGGAGTCGCCTCGACCCATGCGCAAACGCTTCGGCAGCGCCAGCGAAGAGACCATTCTCAAGGTGAGTAATCTTGGCCAGACTTCCAATCGAAGAGTCTTAACTTTAATCCCTTAACCAGGTCAATGGCGATGGCCTGTCCCTGGCCCTTTCCAACGGAGACTTGGACACCCTCAAGGCTGAGATAGTGCGCGAGATGCGGCTGGAGATCCAGAAGGTCAAGAACGAGATCATAGATGGTGGGTTGGTCTGAGAACAGAGAGTGGATTCTGAGATTTCTAACTTCCATCCCTCTTCCAGCTATAAAATCGGAGTTTAATCGAAGATAGATTGGCGCACTGTCGGGATAATGGCCAGTGGCACCCATCCTCTCCCTCCGAGAACCCTCACGACTGCTTTTCCAGAATCAGGAGCCAGGAGAGGAGCCAGGAGCCAGAGCCGGGCGTGTAATTTAAGACATTCGCATAGTATTCGGGAGGAATCGAAGCTCGCAACATTTCTAGAATGTTGACGTTCGATCTGGGCAAGTGTTTGGCAAGTGCTCCCCCGTTTGGGAGCCACTTGCTTTAGGTTAACACACACACACACAAGAAACATCTAGGCTAACACACACACACAAATACTGAAGGCGGGGAAGCTTAGTCAAAGTAATTAATTTTATATTTTAGATTGGGAGGAATGCTAACCGAGTTCTTAGTTATGTAACTAAACCTTACTACTGTTGTACATTATTTTGCATAAGTCTATAAGCCAATTTTAGTGAGAGAACCATGCTTGCAAGTGTTTCGGTAGCCCCCAAAGCCCCAAGACCCTCTTTCGTTTGTTCCTTCAACTCTTTAGTTTGTTATGATCCGACGGGGACTCCCCCGCCTCCCTTTGTTTTTGTACCAAAATCAAAATGATCAACGTTTGTAATTAAACATAGAGAGAGAGTATTTCTTAAAAAGCATACATACATATAGATGGTATATCTACGATCGTACTCATTAACCTAAACCTAAAGGGAACTAGTATTACGAACTCAAATCGAAACGAAAACAATTCCACAAACGTCATCCATCAAGGCTCCTCCAATCACACGACATTTTCCTAAGCACACGATCTCATACGACTCAATTTTAAGAAAACCAACCAACCAGCAAGTCTTCAGCGAATCTTCAGCAAATCTTTAACAGATCCAGAGAATATAATCAGAAATCGTAACAGTTCAAAGCGGAATTGAGCGTGGTGTTCAGGACTCGGCCTCAGATCGAGCCACTTAGCGTTAGAATCTCTAATGAATAATCCCCGATCTATACAGCGAAATTAGAATGCTAAATTAACAATCGACTGCTGCGTATTATACATATAAATAATACATATAAAAATATATTTATATAGAGGAACGCCACTGATTAATGTAAACTCCTCCCCTCCCCCTCAGACCCCCAGACCCCAGACGATCCTGAACATATGCGTACCAATTCAACTTCCATATACGACTAAGACTTAATAGCGAAATTATTGAATGATGATTGAATGGACGGGCAGGCCAAGTAAACCGGAAGTGGGAGGATCGATTGAAGCGGAAGAGAAGAAAGGATAACGGATAGAGAAAGCTTAGGCGCGCGAAGATGAGTTTAATTCTTAAGGCATAAACGAAATGAAATTGTTTATTAAGTGGACGATTTACGAAAATTTATTTATACTGAGTGCAGAAGCGGCTGTGCAGAAGAGGAGCCGCCGGTAGTAGTTGTGTATAATTCGAATGCATATATACATTTTAATTTTTGTAATTTAACAATAATTTTTATATTGACTGTGCGAGGTTGCGGCGATATATACGAGTATATAGAGTATATGGAATACCTAGTTATATGGCGGCCACACACACGGTCCGGTGTGTATGTAAATGTTATGATTTTTGTATTTTTATATATGATCTTTGCATTGCGACCACAATGGCAACAATTTAATATTAAACACACGTAAACTATTTTAAAAGCAAGTAAAAAAATCGATGCGCGCAGCATCAGGCGCGCAACTTTTTATGTATTAAATTAAATATATTATACACTTATATACAACCAGAATATTCAATATACATACGTGAAATGGAAAGTGGTAGGAAGCAGCCGAAATTAACTCGAGATCAAAATATATATTAAAAATCAGCAACGGATTCACTTAGATCGATAAGGGGCATAAGTTATATTCGGCGATCGGAGAGGGAATCGCAAAGAAGCGCAAAACATTATATGCATATTCAACAAAAGAACGTAAAGTGAAATAAACAAGCAACGTTTGTATGTGAAAACCAAAAAAAATAGTCTTTTGATTTTATTGGGAAGTAAATATTTTTGAAAATTACATTTAAAACATGGCGTATGATTGATTTGACTTTAAAAAGATTATTTATTATGCTGGATGATGGGTTATTAAAGTTTATAATACTTTTTGTTTCTTATATGAGCCAAAAATACAATTAATAGGGTTCTATAAGGTAAAACTATTTCAAAAATAGATAAATACAAATATTTTCGAAAAATTAACGGATACTGTTAAGCCTCTGTTAAGTGGTCTTGCCTATCGATAACAATGTTCGTGACTGAGAAATCGTTACTCTTCGTGAGTTTCATGATATATCGGTTTCCGGTTGCGGTGTTTGGCGGCCATTCTTTACTGAGAGTATCTATTTAAAAAATCAATTACTTTAGGCATAATTTCTCTGCTTCTTAGTCCTTTTTTCCATTTTAATGTAGTTTTAAGCATCCTCGAACATTTCATACCATTTGCTAACACTAATTTTACAAGCCTTCCGGCGGCAACAGGGCGTATGAATGTTTTGACTTCAATTAGCCGGTAATTCTATTTATTATCTATAAATAATAAATCTATAGTTCCAGTGTTTTATTTATTAAAAATATTTCCAAAATGTAGGAATATTATTTCCAAAATATGTTAAATTCATATGTATATTTCAAAAAGCTTTCTGTTAACCTATCGATAGAAATGGCCGTGAGTAAACTTCGCTCTTTGTGAAACTTTGGGGAGGCCTTTTTGAAAGCTTTGGGGCCTCTTTGGCCGCCCCAATAGGCACACAGTCGACGGCTGCTATTCTCTCTCTTAATTTCAACGAGTAAGGTTGGTCTTGTGGCGTTCGCGACTGAAAGTAAAATAGCGGCAGCGGCTGCGGCATCGTTTTTGATTGTTCTAGTGGCCATTAAAGGCAGACGCCAAAAAACAAAAAGAAAATAAAGAAAGCCAGCAGTGAAATGTGTGTGAGCGTGTGTAGTGGAAATTTGGCAGCAAACCGCAAAAATATTTGTTTTTCGAAAAAACATTGAAGAAACATTGAAGAATTCGCTTGTACAAGTCGAGTGCGGGTGTGTGTGTGTGTGTGTGTGTCTTTCAGATCTAAAGAAAACAATTTATTGAAATGCCGAACTGCAATCAGAATTGAAGACAGCAGCACCAACAAAAAAGAGCATTCTTCATTGATGCTGCTAACAGCTGACGTGCTCTCTTGTGGGCGCCTGGGCGCTCTTCGGTGGTTCTGGGTGGTTGTAGTTGTTGTTGCTGTTGGTGGGGAAAATCTAAATGTTGGCCAAGTTTGAATAGGAAACTAAATGGCCTAGTAACGTGGCAGAAAAAAAAAAATCAAAAAAAATCTACATAATTGGAATATTTAATGTTGAACTTCTTGTCGAAATCAGACGGAAACAACTGTTTCCAAGTCTATATCTTCATGGTCATCCTATAGAATTGTTTGAATAATAAAATCATCTCTTTTGAAAAACCCATATTTCAAGTTCAGAGCCAACTCTTATGACCAAATCCCATTGTCTTTCAAATTTTTTTTAGTTAATTTTACGGAAGTTTGTAAAATTCTTCACACGTCTACTCGCATTGCCTCGCTTCCTCCACCCCCCCACGCCTGTTTTCTCTCCACGCCTCTTCGCAACGAACAGAGTGACAAAAACACAAGAGAGAAGAAACAAGAATAACAACAAACGAACAACAACAACAAAGAATTCCATCGTAAAGCAACAACATCACGACTATATATCTCTGGCGTACAGAAAATTGAATAAATAAATAAATAATAATAATAAAAATAAAAAACAGAACGGCATTATTTTTGAAAAAAGAATAATTGGCAACGTTTTGGTTTAAAAGTCGAGGTTGGCCCAAAGGAGACGTGGCCTTCTGGCTGCCAATAGTAATTCGGTCAATTGTGTGAGTAGCGAAAAGCAGAGAAAATACCGTTTGTTTACTATGTTGTGCCACCACCCACCACCCACCACGAAGCTTTTACCCCTTTCCCTACCCCCCGCTCTCTTATTGATTTGCATTGCCACCCACACTCCCACCACACATTCGGCCTTAAATGGAGCTGGAAATTATCGAAAAACGTTAATGGTTTCCAAACAAACACATACATAAATACATACATGTTGTCACTAATCCATCACCTGGAAGTTAAGACTTTTTTGGCCAAAATAGAACTGAAATGGCCCAGAGAACAGTGCTACCAAAAATAACACAAAATTCCAAGTGAATTCCTTCGAATAATGCAATCTATTTTTATTTCCACGAACCACCCAACTACTGCAACGCACATCCTGGACACGTCCTCATCAACCACAACAACAACAACAATCTGCGTTGTACGATTCGGTAAGTAACCCCATCCTCCAGAGCCACCCCATCGGGCTGAAGTGGGCTTGGTCCTTGTTGTTTTGGGTGTGTTCTAATGGCTCTATGAAGACGTTCCGCGATCCTTTTGGCGATAAGGGAAGCGAAAGTGCGTGTTTTGCATCTCCAACCCTCGCTGCTCCTCTCTAGTTTGTCTGTCCCACCCTTGCCACCACCCCGTGAGGCAGCTCCAAACCACCCTTAGTTACTGGAAACTGTGTCACAGGCTACCGAGTTGGCAAAAATGGGCAAAGTCCACTTAGAGAAGAGTCTTTAAAAAACTTTTAGTAAAAATAATAGCTTACGACCCCTTTTTTTTGAGTGTACCGACCTCTCCCTTTTCCTTGCACTCTCTTATTCTCTCTTATACCGCCTCCTGTACCGTTAAAGCTTTTCCGCCAAAAACTCTCTTCGTAAAAATACCCGAAATTGGAGTAAACAAAAACACTGAAAAGTAAACATGTGTTTTTTGTGATTTCCCCGAGATTTGGTTTGCCCGGGAAGGTCCAACCCGTTGACAAATCAATTCCAGGACTCTGAATTATTCAGGGTTGCCCTGGGTAACCCCTATGCAGAGTGGGCACCTCACGTTTGGTCAAAACAATTGGCCCCAGGGTTCAAATACCTCGCATGCACGGGCCAATTAGAGTCCTGGGGGAGGCACGAGGGTTGGACGCGTAACCCTTGAGGCGGCTGTCTGGCGGCTCCCCTCATTTAAATCGATGGATTCTCGGGCAGTGATAGCCCCCGATCGATAAACGAGTTCCAGCCCAGCGGCCAGCCAAAGTCTAAAGGTTCCCAGTCAACCAACTCTCTCGTGTGAAACTGCTTTACTGCCGATTTGTGTTGTTTTGGGCTGAACTTTTTCTTCTGACTTCTGGCTCGGCGAAAACACAGAATTGTGTAAGCTGCATCACGCAACTGGCTGGTGACCTCTGACGTGGTCCCCGCAGTGCGTGCTCCAGAAAACTTTGCCCAAGCTGGGTCACCAGTGCGTATGCTTAATGTCTCATTAGCTGAAATCCATCATACGCCCTGTCGGAACTTGAGAAAGCCTTAAGATGAATCACATTGCTATTAATGTTTATTTTTATTTCATAAACTCTCAGATTAATCGGTTGTGGTTTCAGGGTTAAAACCGAAAGCTATTTTTATCAGCCGCTCCGAACAAATTCCATTCTTCTAAGCTTGTTAGCTAAACATTTATATTTTGTATTCCAGACCCACTCACTCAGCCTTATCAATTTGAATAAAATGTTTTATTGGAACAGTGCCGGGTGGAGTGACATCATATGTGGTCGCTGTTTGGTATTGTTTTTCTGCCGGCCTGCCGGTCTGCCGGTGCCGTCATTTGACATATTTTATTAACCCATTAGACAGTCGTTTTATGGCCAGGTGTCCAGATCCGTATCAGTCACTATATACCCATTCATGAAGAGCAATTAAGCCCGATACTAACCATACCTAGCTATGATAAGATAAGACCGTAAGGCGGCACCCTTGACCGTGACTCAAAAAAAAAAAACAAAAACAAAGAAAATCAATCGGGAATCGGAGTCATCTGCCGGGGCGACCTTCAGGCCTGTGGTTTGCCAGCTTCGGAGGGGATTGGCTTGGATTGGATTACCGAATCTCTATTTTTAGACCTCTGGCGTGGTAACGGAAATCATTTCAATATTTATTCGCCTCTGAATGTGATTAGCAATGCGCACTTTGTGTGCATTCCGAGTGTTGTTTGTACATCGACTACCTGACGTTCCTCCAAGAGAATAGCAAGGGGGTGACGCAATGCCTCCAGAGGAGGTGGCAGCGGCAACGGTGGGGCATTCAACTCGCCACCTCTGACCCTTGGCCGGAGTTGGTAATTAAAACGGAAGTACTGCCAACCTGTTGCTCTTGCCCAAGTTCCAGGCTCATTAAATTCAAGCTTGGGAAGCGGGCCGACTTGCCGAGCCACTTGCATGGCATTAATTAGCTGGCGAGCCCAGCTCTTCTGGGAACTCTGGCTATTACCACACAGAATATGAATATTTGCAAAACTTTCGGTTGGAACTACACCGCGGAAATGCAGGGCGTAGTTAGATGGCCCTTGGAGTAGATTTTTTTAATTACAGAAGTGATGGGGACACTTTCCCACACACCCGTTAGAGTCACTGTCAATCAGTGGGGATGGGAACATGTGTTACCCCCCTAGGCTGCCCCTAGCAGGAGGCGTGGCGGACGCCTGCCTCCTTGGCACTTGCCAAGTGCTGGCGGCATTTTCCTCCTCGCTGCCAATGGGTTAAAAATACCCGCGAGTACTTGTTGCTCTCGTAATCGCCCTCTCAGATGGTACACGAAGGGGTCAATAGACGGGCCAGTGGCTGGGAATGCTCGAAAGGCGTTTGGTTTGGTTGGGTACTTGCTTGGAAAAGTGGAAATCAGCGGCGCAGAAAGCCCAAGCATGTGGCAGCCAACTCAGAGACCCGGGATGAAGAACAACAAAGCTGCCATTGATATAAAACAGATAATGGCGAGCATAATGGCGGGATGGCGAAAAGTCGGATATGAATGAGAACAGTGCCTCGAGTGCCCGAATATTAACTGCAACAAGTACCGAGGGGAGGAAGGGTTACCCATAGAGGTCTGGTCTCCCCGGCTCGAATGCCAATTCTCTCGAATAGTTTCTAATAAATCCGTGAAAGCAAAAACAAGCTGAAAACAAAGGCAACGAGAGAAGGCGCACGAAAGGTCTAAAAATAAAAAAGGCAGAACCGAAACACATTATAAACAATCCGGCAGAGTCGTTAAGAGTGCGAGTCGGTGGCGGCTCCTCGCCAGTCAGTCTTACGTCATCTCTTGGTGTGACCCCAAAAAGACACATCTATGACGTCAATGCATTAGCTCCCATAAGCCCCAATAGGAGCAGATGGCAGAGGGATGGGGAGTGGCCCAGAGATGTCAAGAATCTAAAGACACATCTCTAAAAGTAATGTGTTGCAGATACTAGATGTGTGTGTTTGTTGAAAGGAAACAAATGTTCCCATCGCTGACACGAGCCGCAGGCGCCGGCGCAGGAGATACAGATACTATTCGTATCTGAGAACGTCTCTCGCCTCGGAGAGATCCCAAAGATATGTCCGTTTTCGAAGGCAGACGATTCAGTTTTCAGTTGAGTTCTGTTTCTGTTCGGTTCAGTTCGGTTCGGTTTTCTTGCGTTTTTCCAAGATTTCCATTTTTCTTTCCGTTTTTTTGTTGAAACTGTCTTGTGTTTCGTCATAAAAGTACCATTTTGGATTATTTTTTTTTGGATTAAATCAAAGACCAACGTTTGACTTTGTGGCTCTGTGAGTGGACCGATTTTTCCGAACGTCCTATAGCTTCCCAAATGAAAATCTGAACAGATTCTATAAATAGAGCGGGGACTGGGGCAGGGACTTGGGGGTTGGGGGTTGGGGGCTTTGCCCCGATACAGAAAATCATCTCGCTCTCTGAGATACACGAAACTATAAGATACTTTCCCACAGACCGACACTCCGACGACGATGACGACGTTGATCCGTGGGATTACCTCGCGCCGGAACTGAACGATGGATCTGGCAGATCAAATCGATGACTATATCTGTTCGTTCGAAGGACTTGGCGACTTAACAATGGACTCCCTGGCCATCTTCATCTTCCTGTGGGCCGTGCTGGCCCTCTTCTCCGTCTGGCTGATCAAGCTCCTCTACCACAAGTATCTCAACAAGGGCAAGGCACCCAGCGCCGCCACCAGCCGCCAGAGCAGCGTGGCCCCCGGCTCGGGATCCCCCACCTCCGGCTCCGGCAAGACTGAGAAGCGTCTCTCCGAGCCACGCGACCTCCTGGCTACCAAGAGCAAGGTGGCCGAGGATTTGGCCAAGCCCCTGGCTGCAGGAGCGGCCGGTGGAGCTAGAGGCCGCTCGTCAGCCTCACCGCTGAACTCCGCCGCTGCCGGTCCACGTCGTCGGGTGGTGCGTCAGAGCTCCACGGGTCCCGAGAACCGCAAGAAGCGGTATGTGCCGCCGCCCTCCAATGTTGTGGGCCCCGAAACGGTAAGTGGAACTCATGGACAGCCTTCTTTCGTTTAAAACTAACCCCATTTCCCCTTAGAGCTCCGTCACCTGGACCAGCCAGGTGTTCCGCTGGCTATACAGCGACCTGGTCATCGTCAACGAACTGCTCATGTCCTGGGTGATTGCCATTAACGACTCGCTGCGCAAATCCGTGGAGGAGGTAAGTGTGGGGCAGAGGGTGGTCAGGTGGTCAGTTGGCCAGGTCACCGGGTGACATCAGACTTCCCTGTCATCACGGCATCATGTGTGAGCTCCTCCGCAACTCTCTGATGTCATGGCTGAGCCCGACTTGGTCTCCACTGATGACGGGGCATTGACCTTTGTTCTTGGCCCCGCCACGACATTCAACTTGAAATCGATGTTCGAGCTGTGCTCCCCTCCCCCCGCCACTCTGAGCCCCCGCTTCGAGCTGGGAACTCGCTCAGCCGTAACTGATGGCGAAACGCGTTTTGTTTTCAACTTTTTCTCCATACCGACTAGCTGTCGAGATTCATAGGTGAATGTTGGGTTTATAATTGGTTTAATAAATGCCTGAAAGAGATGTATTATTTAGTAACAATATTAACTAGTCAGAGACCTAGAAACATGCATCTTAGGTGATAGTACTAGTACTATTAGTAGAATACAACCACTTTATTACAACTCTATACTAGTACTAGTTCCGAGTACAGGGTATCAGCTGCTTGAAATACTTGTTTTCCCCCCGATTTGGTTCGTTTTTTTTATCGCCTTTTACGTGATCGGAGCCAGTCGTGGGCCAAGGTCGCCATTTAGTCATCCGTCATTATCCAGACCAGGCTGTGACCAAAAATCGCGAGCAACCGTATTACGTAATACTTGATTAATCAACCCCCGAAATCTGGCACTTTTTTGCAGCATGGAGTGGCCGTGGAGGTTGTCCGAGTGCTGCCCGACAGCCCTGCTCCCGGCCTGAACAACATCTTCTGCAACTGCGATGAGAACAATCCCGCCGACATGGTAACTGAGATACAATCCTGAAAGACCATAAGTATTAACTAAAGTACTTTTCAGCTCATCACCTTCGACTGTGACGCCATGCCGGTGCTGCAGGTGAAGACTTTCCGGCAGAAGGCGGGCAAGGTGGAGACCTCCCACTACAAGGTCACCGTGTCGAGGTTCCGAGCCCGCATGGCCATTCCCATGAACTACAACACCCTCAAGGGTGAGATGCGCGTCGAGGGCTATCCAGATGTGAGTGTGAACCCACACAGGTTTTGCAGGACACGCAAGCTAATGTTTTGAAATCCGATAGGTCCGCATCGCGATGAACAGCGTGGGCGCCATCAAGCCGATGGACCAGGACGAGCAGCAGCTCCAGACGGTGATCAGCGACATCCTGACGACGGCGCTGCGCGACACCGTCTACCCGGTGGACTTCTCCATCTACTCCACCTGCCCCCGAGCGGATGTGGAGCCATTGGAGCTGCCCGTAATCTATCCCGTGCACTATGACTCGCTGGCGGTGAGCAGTCGGGAGCAGTGAGAAGGCGGAGGAAGCTCCCACCTGTTTCTGTTTCTGGTTTCTGGTTCACTCAGTCCCCGTGTTCTCTTCAACACTCGTCACTCTTCAAAGAACCTCACTGTACAGTGTTAACCTCCTCAAGACAAACAGACATTTCTCATTGCTCTCGACTCCTTGCTCCTCGATCCATGCTCCTCCTCACCCATTCCCTCTCGTTTCGTTCTCTGAAATTCGCCTTTTCTCTATGATTCTATTCACATTTCCCGTGTCTCCGTCTCCGTTGAGAATCCGTTGAGTTTGTTGTGCCTGCCACACCCCAACCCACCTCCCAAAAGGATCCCCAAAAAGTAAAAGACTTTCTTTCTCTTTTCAGGGCAACCAATACTTTCAATATTATTACAATTTCTAGTGAATGTCACGCATAGTTCCTGATTAAAGGCGAATTTCATGAGCCAACTCCAACCCCGACTTTTGATCTTTTGACCCTGCCCCTGCCCATGCCCCTGCCTTAGACTCTGCCCCCTCTTTGTCTCTCTATGTCTTGTCGCCCATCTCATATCACCTTGTCGAAATCCATTCCATACAGCACAACATGGAGCATCTGAGCGGTGGCCTGAGGGACTCCCAGCGCATGGTTTCCGGCCGCCGGCTGCTGGTGAAGATCGTCAAGGGTGAGGGACTGCGGGACGCCCACGATCCCTACGTGGTCATCGAAATGGACGAGCCGGCCCAGAAGAACCAGACGGGAACCCAGCGCGGCAGCAAGCCCTACTGGGACGAGCACTTTCTCTTGTAAGTGATTCTTCCACATCCAATTATGAGATCCCAAGTCACCAAATCTTCATTTGCAGTGAACTCTCCCCGCAATCTGCCGAGATCCTCTTTGAGGTCTACGACCATCCGGTGATTGCCTCGGATCCGCCCAAGTTCCTGGGTCTGGGCCTGGTGGGCATCGACGAGCTGGCCGTAGGTCCAGCCTCCACGCAGCTCCTGCAGCTACAGCCACGTCCTTACGAGACCCAGCCCGTGTCGGGAGCCATCACCGTGGACTTTGTGTTCATCGAGGGAGCCGAAATCCCGGCTGGCACGCGCCCCCAGCACCTGAAGGAGGCGCTGCGCATCAGCACTCCGGCCATCAACGAGCACATCCGGAACGGAGCCGACCTGGCGGACGCAGCCGTGCGCGCTCTGCAAGACGGAGCCCTCTCCGGCACCGGAAACGGCGGCCAGCCCAGCAAGAGCACCCTGATCATCCACAGCGTACAGCGGGTAAGGCGTCGTGCTCGACTCTTGGCCAAGTGGTAGCACTCATCTCATCTCCCCGGGCTCCGTCCTCTATGGTTTATTCGTTTTAATTTTCGTTTGTTTCTCTTTTCCGTTTCGTTTCATTTCATCCCTCCCCCCGACTCGCTGATCCCGCCCAGAACTCGACCGGCCCGAATGCATTTAAGGTAATCTCCCCCATAGCCCTGGTCCTCATCTCTTGAATTGTTTCTTTTTTGAGTTACCTCGTTACTGCGTCTCTAATCCCTCATGGGGCCTCGTGGCCTCCAAAGTCATGCAGGTTCTCTAGTGTTTAAGCCAAGCTAATTTCCAAACTGTTTCTTGTTCCGTTTTGCTCCGCCTAACCCCAAATGCGCTTCTTTAATCACGTCTTCCAACCGATCGGATCTGATTCCCATCGACCGATCAGGTTGCGCTGAACGAGGACGGCAGACTCGAGGTGACCCAGGCCCCGACGGAGCTGGATGAGGCGGTGGCCCAGGCCTTCGAGCGGGCTGCCAGCGAGGCCCAGGCCGAGCTCCAGCTCCAGGAGAAGCAGGCCGACGCGGAGGTGGCCGACGCCAACGACTCAGGTAACAACACCATCAACGAGGATAGCACCGCCGAGGTAAGTAGGCTGAGTTCAGAGGCATGGCATGTTGTTTGCGTTTAGTTTTGGGTGAAGATTCATATTCCATTGATTAACATACGTCCTTGGGTATCACTTCCAGTATGGCCAGCCCAACGCCGCCTCCTCGCCCAACGGCAGCAGCTACCACAACAACTACAGCCTGAATGGCAATGGAAACGGCAACACGAACGGATCCGGCTACAACAGCCTGCCCCGGAACGGAGGTGGAGGACTCTCTGCCTCCCAGCTGGCCCAGCAGAACTCATCCGGCTATATGGATGGCAGCGACGTGGTCGATGATCGCGGGCGCAGCAAAAAACGTAATTTCTTTGGTACCCTGAAGAAGCGGCTCAGCCGCTCCAAGACACGCACCCTCTCGGCCGACCAACCGCCCAATAATAACAGTCATAAGTCACTATCAGCCACCAACTCGTCAGCCACTGGACTCCCTCGAACAGCCACCGGAACCCTCAATGGTGAATCTTCCCGTTCATTATCTGTCGATCGTGCCACTCTGTCCAAAAGCAATTCACTTGGTAATTACCACCCTCGATCACAATGCTCCGACTTGGCTGGAGCCCTCGCCTTCGTCTGTGTCCATTTAAGCCTGGCTTGAACGCACTCTCACCGGATCACCCACGCATTCCGCTAACAGCTCTGGATATTCCCTCACCTAATATTGCATTTGGAGATCATGGCATTTGGCACTTTTATTCATATTTTTTGGCTTTTCTTGATTTGTTTTTAATGGCAAGTCCTCAGCTGGACTTTCACCTTGAAGCTTTATGGTTTTCATTTGCATTTTTCACTCATTTTAAGATTGGATCTGATCTCATTTTTCATTTCCATCTTTAAGATATTAACTGTATGTTAACCACGCTTTATTGTAACTATAATTGTATCTACTTCCAATGTCTGTACTGGTACTCTACGTCTTGTATTGTCTCTTCTCTCCCCTAACACTTTCTACCATCACATGCTAACCGAACTGTGACCCTCTACACGAATCTGTATGTATTCCATGGTTCCCAAAACCGCAAACTCTAAAAACACACAAAAACACGGTTTCAAACACATTTTGTAAATACGATATTGTTGGCTTTATTTTTGGAACGGCCTTTGGTTCGATTTGCGTATCAACTTGATTTCGATTATTTCTCACACACCTTCCGTATTCTTTTCTTTATTTTATTTTCCATATACTGCAATATGATTTGACGGGTCTTAACCGGGTGCTTGGTTTGTGTGCCACTCTCTCAACTTGCCACATAAAAAACACACAAAACTTAACTAAACGCAGGACCCCGCATGGGCATCGGGCACTCCATCACCGACCACTCACGTCGCTCCTCAATTTCAGAATCCTCGGCCATCTCAGGCTTCTCCTCGGCGAGCAACAAGACCTACGTGCACGAGGCCTCCACCCTGGTGCTGGAGACCATCGAGAACGGCGTAAAGCGGTCAGTCCATTGATGGCCTTTTCAAGTTTCTTTTATAAACTCTTTTTTTCTTCCTCACAGCCACTTTATTGTGCCTTTGGCCATCGCCCAGAGACCCCGCTGGAGGCGCAAGGGCACCAAGCTGCACATCTACAACGACCACACCTTCATCGCCAAGCATTTGAGCGGGTAAGCTTTATTTTTTAGCTATTTTTTTCAAGGATGTGATATCGGGGGAGATATCTTTTGGGGTATTACATGCCTATGTTTCCCTTCTAAAAATTTTGATAAAATATCGATCGAAAAAACCTTTTTCATATTTTTACGAGAATTGGTAGTGAATAATCTAAGAAATCTTTTAAGGTATTCCTCTCAAGGATCGGATGAAAATTGACCAAGATATGGAAATAGTTGTGAGCCATATATGAAAATCCTCGATTTTCCAAGGGGACCCCCACAAAAATTTTGAAAAAAATTGATCGAAAAATCCTTGCCCATATTTTGATAGGAATCGGTAGAGAATCGTCTCAGAAATCTTTTAAGGTATTCCTCTTAAAGATCGGATGAAAATTTACCAAGATATGGACATACTTTGGAGCCATATATGAAAATTCTGGATTTTCCAAGGGAGCCCCTACAAAAATTTTGAAAAAAAATTGATCGAAAAATCCTTGTCCATATTTTGATAGGAATCGATAGAGAATCGTCAAAGAAATCTTTTAAGGTATTCCTCTCAAGGATCGGATGAAAATTGGCTAAGATATGGACATAGTTTGGAGCCATATATGAAAATCCTGGATTTTCCAAGGGGACCCCCACAAAAATTTTGAAAAAAATCGATCGAAAAATTCTTCTTCATATTTTGATGGGAATCGGTAGAGAACCGTCTCAGAAATCTTTTAAGGTATTCCTCTCAAGGATCGGATGCAAATTGGCCAAGATATGAAAATAGTTTGGAGCCATATATGAAAATCCTGGATTTTCCAAGGGGACCCCCACAAAAATTTTGAAAAAATCGATCGAAAAATCCTTCTTCATATTTTGATGGGAATCGGTAGAGAATCGTCTCAGAAATCTTTTAAGGTATTCCTCTCAAGGATCGGATGCAAATTGGCCAAGATATGAAAATAGTTTGGAGCCATATATGAAAATCCTGGATTTTCCAAGGGGACCCCCACAAAAATTTTGAAAAAAATCGATCGAAAAATCCTTCTTCATATTTTGATGGGAATCGGTAGAGAATCGTCTCAGAAATCTTTTAAGGTATTCCTCTCAAGGATCGGATGCAAATTGGCCAAGATATGGACATAGTTGGGTGCCATATTTGAAAGACCTGGATTTTCCAAGGGGACCCCCTCAAAAATTTTGAAAAAAATCGATCGAAAAATCCTTCTTCATATTTTGATGGGAATCGGTAGAGAATCGTCTCAGAAATCTTTTAAGGTATTCCTCTCAAGGATCGGATGCAAATTGGCCAAGATATGAAAATAGTTTGGAGCCATATATGAAAATCCTGGATTTTCCAAGGGGACCCCCACAAAAATTTTGAGAAAAATCGATCGAAAAATCCTTCTTCATATTTTGATGGGAATCGGTAGAGAATCGTCTCAGAAATCTTTTAAGGTATTCCTCTCAAGGATCGGATGCAAATTGGCCAAGATATGAAAATAGTTTGGAGCCATATATGAAAATCCTGGATTTTCCAAGGGGACCCCCACAAAAATTTTGAAAAAAATCGATCGGAAAATCTTTCTTCATATTTTGATGGGAATCGGTAGAGAATCGTTTTAGAAATCTTTTAAGATATTTCTCTCAAGGATCGGATGAAAATTGGCCAAGATATGGACATAGTTTGGAGCCATATATGAAAATCCTGGATTTTCCAAGGGGACCCCCACAAAAATTTTGAAAAAATCGATCGAAAAATTCTTCTTCATATTTTGATGGGAATCGGTAGAGAACCGTCTCAGAAATCTTTTAAGGTGTTCCTCTTAAAGATCGGATGAAAATTGGCCAAGATATGGACATAGTTGGTGGCCATATATGAAAATCCTGGATTTTCCAAGGGGACCCCCACAAAAATTTTGAAAAAAATCGATCGAAAAATCCTCTTCCATATTTTCATAGAAATCGGTAGAGAATCGTCTCAGAAATCTTTTAAGGTATTCTTCTCAAGGATCGGATGCAAATTGGCCAAGATATGGACATAGTTTGGAGCCATATATGAAAATCCTGGATTTTCCAAGGGGACCCCCACAAAATTTTGAAAAAATCGATCGAAAAATTCTTCTTCATATTTTGATGGGAATCGGTAGAGAACCGTCTCAGAAATCTTTTAAGGTGTTTCTCTTAAAGATCGGATGAAAATTGGCCAAGATATGGACATAGTTGGTGGCCATATATGAAAATCCTGGATTTTCCAAGGGGACCCCCACAAAAATTTTGAAAAAAATCGATCGAAAAATCCTCTTCCATATTTTCATAGAAATCGGTAGAGAATCGTCTCAGAAATCTTTTAAGGTATTCTTCTCAAGGATCGGATGCAAATTGGCCAAGATATGGACATAGTTGGTGGCCATATTTGAAAGACCTGGATTTTCCAAGGGGACCCCCTCAAAAATTTTGAAAAAAATCGATCGAAAAATCCTTCTTCATATTTTGATGGGAATCGGTAGAGAATCGTCTCAGAAATCTTTTAAGGTATTCCTCTCAAGGATCGGATGCAAATTGGCCAAGATATGGACATAGTTTGGACGTGTCCTATGGACATAGGGCTTCCAGTAGAAACAAGAGATCGAAGCATTATTAGCTGAAATACACAGCTTCCACCCCAGATATTTTGACCAAGAATCCTCTTTTCATCTTCCAGAAGCGGCCTACAGTGCTCCATCTGCATGAAGTCGATCCCGCGGAGGCCCGGAAAGCAGGGCTACGAATGCCGCGACTGCCAGCTGATCTGTCACAAGCAGTGTCACATACGGGCGCCCCAGTCCTGTCCCAATCCCACGGTGCTCTCCATGGAACTGTAAGTGGAGTCCTCGACCTGACCGTCGTGGACTCTCTCAACTAGTAACCCTGCCAATACCGTATACTAATTTATTGATTTCATTTTGTTTTTCTCTTTCCACACATACACACATACCCCTCCAACACACACACCCACACGAAATGCACACACACACCCGAACAGAACATCATTTCCGGTACTCACAGAGAGAGATATTAACCTAGTTAACTAGAGCCATTTATTTTGTGTCCCAATCTTAATTTTGTAAAAGCCTTGAGTCCGCCAAATGCAGTTTGATATTTAACAAAAGCGATTTTGATTTTATTTGAATTCGGCGTCAGAAGTGGAAATTACAGATTTGGGCTTTGTTTTCCGGCTTCCGGCTCCCGCCATCCCCCAGCAACCACCCCACCATTTATAGCCACCTCGCTTTTGGCCACGCTTCTCATTTTGTTGTATTGTTTTTTTATGGGCACTAATCCGAGCTCTTCTCTCATCGCACCCACTTCACCATCGATCGACCAACCATCCGTCCCCCTGGAGCAGGATGACAAGTGATCAGACCTAGTAGAAACAACACCATCCAGCATAAGTACAGCATAAGTCCAGGGGCCAGGCCACTTTCTGACGCCAATATATTTCAAAGACCCGTCCACACACTCTCCAACTTCGATTCGTAAACCACAGCAGGGCCCTTTAGATTCCTCCAGCAGAAGTTATTAGAGGTTCGAGCGTTTTCCAGTTGGCCTTTGGCAACTGGGAAATCGGGGTAAGCCGCCATCACAACCGCCATCGCATCCGCATGAAGTCCTGGAGAAACTGCGTCCCTAGCCCCCTTAGAAAAGGAGACTGGTCCTGGGAAATGGTTTCTCTGGGACGTGTTCTTGTTCTTCTCCACTGTGTTGTGAAAATTAACACTCTCTGTTCGTCTTTGATCGCTATCCGATCGAAACTAAATCTGCTAAATCCAAAGAATCTGCTAATTGGCTTGTTTGATTTTGTTAATTATTCGTTTTTCCCCAAATCTTAATCCTATATTACTCTTTTCTAACATTTTTACGTTACTGTTTCCGCAGGACCAAACTTAACTCAGCTGCGGCGGACCGCAGCATCCGGAAGCTGTGAAGGGGAACCCCGGAACGTCCGAGGTACCCATCCGAAAACCTTAATCGAAATACTAATCCTAGTTAGTCTAGACGGAGGAGGAGAAGCTGTGCGAGCTATCTACGCTGCTATGGGAATCCTTGATACATCTTATTTCGTTATTTATTTATACACCAGCGAACACACCACAACCACGTGCAATAGGTTCTTTGGTTTCGTTTTTAACCCATTTCTCTGTGTCAACGAGCTCGAGGCCCTTGATATTTTGTATTTTCTACAAAACACGAATAATAATTGTACAAAATGAAATCGAAAAGCATTATATTTACTTAAAAAAGGGGTTTTTGAATGGGGCTTCAAGTCAAATGTTGTAAAATATTTTTGAAATTTTATTACTTTGCCGCCATGTCCGTTGGGTAAAGTGGCATCCCTGTCCAAACAGCTGGACCTATCGATTAACGATAACAACCCTGGATGGTTTTTTAGAGATGTAACAAAAGCTATTTTGTTTTGTTTCATTGCAGTTTTTCCTATAGCGACTAAAAAATGCATTGAAAATTGTTTCAGTCACAAAAAAACGTATCGAAATAACATTAAGAAATATGGCATCTCTATTTCTGACAGTGCTGGAAAGGTTAGAGTGTCCAGTGTTGGCCAACAAAAATGTTAATCCATCGATAAATACTCAGGTGAATATCGTTCTATCGATTCCAACACGATTCGAGTAGATAAAAACAAAGTGGAGCACGGTGCACGGACGTTGGGGACTACAAAAATTGGCAAAAATTCGAACCGTGAGCGCTGCAGTCGCGAACGTCACGTGTGCAATTTAACTCCAGGTGCTTTTCGATTGCGTTGTTGAAACAAAAAAAAAAAAATAGAAAAAGCGCAACCAACAACAACAACTACACTGATACTGCGTCGGGCGACAAAGCGACACGCCTCGCTCTGTTTTTGTTGTTGTTGTTGTCGCGTGTGTGTGTTTTCGGATTCGTCTACTAATTATTATTACTAGAATTGCTCGTAAAGTTAACATGTGCCTAAAATAATTAAATAATTCATAAAGTGAAGCAGCGCGTCCAGAAACAAAGAAAGCAGGAGAACGGCGATAGCGACGGCGAAAAAAAGCGAGACGTTCTCTCGCCTACCACCTTCTCGCCTGCCTGCTTGCCTGCCTGCCTCCCACCCCGCGGCGCTTTCTCTTCCTCGTCCTCCCCCCGCTCCAGTCGGCAACCAACTGTCCCTCCCCCCCCCAGCACCATCACCAGCACCCACCCGTTTTTGTTTTTGTTGCTTTTTCTTGCCATTTGTTTTCATCAATGTGTTTTTGTGCGTCATATTCGCGAATCGCGACACCCCCATCGCCCCCCTCGGCCACCTCGCCTGCTTCTCCGGCTCGACTGCGCTTCTAATATCCGTGTCTTCGTTGGCGAATTCTTTGCAGAGATCCGATCGCGGCTGGTTCAGTAATTAATTCAAGCGATTAATATATATCCAAAGTCCAGTTAACGTTACGCAATTACCGCCCGAGTGCGTGCCAGAGTGTGAGTGTGTGTGAGTGCCGTTCCAAAATGCATCTCGATCCCCGAAAGCCTCTGAATTCCGCCCACTGTGAGTGCTAAAATCGTATCGGTAACCGAAACCATATAGCGGAGGTAGGCCACTCGCCACAGAGCTTCACTAGACCGCACGCAGGAGAGATCCGGAAGGAGTCCATAGGGTGCACCGGAAGCGGGGAAGGATCCAAGCGGACAAGATGGCCGCCGCCCACAGCCACCACAACGCCAATCTGCTCAGCTCGGACATATCGCGTCGCAATCCGCAGGACGAGTACGAGCTCATCCAGAAGATTGGCTCCGGCACATATGGAGATGTCTACAAGGTGAGTTCATACACTGCAAAAATAGGGGGTACCCTTATGTCTCAGAATGGAGAAAATAAAGAAACACTGGAAGAGTGCTGGTTCACCCTTTAACCTCCGCTGGAGGAGCTCGGGGAGGAGAAGGAGTAGCCCTTCGGCACACTCATTTGTACATCTGCTTGCCACCGCATGCTCCACGGAGTCGGAGCCAGCTGCCCCAGTTCCCTTCCCCTCTCCCCAAACACAAATATGCGCCACTCCTGCTCCCCTTCCTCCGCTGGCTCGTTCTTTTGCTTTTTATGCCCCAACTTCCATGTTTACTCCATGACTGCCCCTTCGGAATGGGAATGGAAATATGACAAATGCGTCCGTAACGGCGCTGAAGTTGCCCTTGGGTGCTGGGGTGAAGGGAGGCGTGGCATAATGCAATTCCACAAGGGGGGGCTATGGTATTTTTGATATGAAATAGAGATAGCAGGAACCCTTTGATTTTGAGGGGATTTCCGCTTTTCCACTTTTGGATTGATGAAAAGTTTGGTTATTTTGATGAAAAATGTATCTTCTATCTTAAAGTTCTTAACTATCTATCTAGTATCTTCCCTTTAGTATCTTGGATATTGATTCAAAGTGCCTCTATTATTTCAAAACTCTCAAACTCAAGCCTAGTTGAGACACGAACTTGCATTGATTATGGGGATTAATTCCAAAAATGCTTATTTGTTTATGTTCTGTATCTGTATCTGTATCTCTGTATCTGTATCTGATTCAGTTGCCATATCCATCTATAAGATGCGTCATCTGATGGCTTCCAAGTCTGGCACTCTTTTCAAGTTATGGAGCTTACATCGGGGTGTTATTTATGATGCCACCCAGACAGAGGGTCTTGATGGTAGTGGTGGTGTAGGGTCTCTAGCCCTAATCTTGGATAGAAAACTGCGCACATGACGCGCCGCAATTGAAGTGCAGGGCAATCGAAACAATCATCATCGCTCGTTCCACTTTTCGCAATTCCCCCACTCCCCACTCCCCACTCGCACTCGCATTTCGCGATATATCAGCTTACAATAGAAATACTATAATAACATCAGAAATGGACAACAATACGCCCTGTTGACGGGCCGTTGTGAATGGAATTGGGTTTCCACTGTAGCCCCCCTTTCTCCCCTCATACTCATTGGTTCTTATTAGACGGTACAATGATCCAAAAATTGGGTTCAAACTTCTACCTAGGGAGGGGTGTTCCAGGTTTTCAAAACAATAATTACAGCACCAAGAAGTATGCAACGAATTCTTTATGCCAGGCAGGTGATGGTGGAGGAGGGGGTGGTGGGGGTGTGGAGAGTCTTCATTACCGGAAATTCGAGAGCAAAGCAAGTGAGGAAAGTGGAAAGTGAAAAAGAAATAAGGAATAAAGGCAAGAGAGTGCCAGGTTACAGTTATGCAATGAAAACTGGCACACACATACACATACATATATATACATACATATTTCATGCGTGTATTTGGTCTATGTTTCTATGCTTTTGTATGTATGTATGTGTGTGTGTGTGTGTGATTACCTTTGCCAGGCACTTGACTTCTCCATACAATGTCCCTTCATTGTTGTTGTTTCTGCCACACTTTAACAATCATCCTCGTCATTGTTGTTGTTGTTGTTGTTGGTTTTCAGTTGTTTTCTCTTGTTTGTTGTGTTTGCTATTTGTTGTTGTTGTTGTTGTTGTTGTACACGCAACACGCATGAAAACATGAAAAAAAAAATTGGCGCAACGCTCTCGACCCACAGAGTGGGTGGCTGGGGTGGTGGGGTGACTGGGGTGGTCTGTTGGGAAAATTACTAGAGAAAAGAACACGAAACTGAAGTGAATTTGAAGCAGCGCCAGTGAAGTGGTTGGCTAACCCCCCCGCCCCTCCCTTCCCCTCCAAGGGGGGGACCATAAGGAGGTCACGTAGCCAACGCATGTGTGGGCGTGGTCTTATGGAAAATGCATTGCATTTATCTCCAGATGATGTCTGTCTGTCTGTCTTTTTGCTGATTTGATGCTTGTTTTGGTTTGTTTTTCCCTCAAAACTGGCAATTGTCGGAAAAGTAAAGGGGGTTTTCCATTTTCCAGAGAAATCATTGGGCCCTAAAAGCCCCTCTCTCCCCCCAACAACTCCCAGCTTCAAAGCAAACAGACAATGTCAAAGGTTGTGCCCTTCTTGCCTCTGGAATATAGAGATCTTTTGGATTTTTTGGCCACTTTGGGGGCAATATGCAAATGGATCTTGACACGCCCACTGCCCACCGCCCACCGCCATAATGGGCGCTAAGTAAACACCCCTTGGCCGCTTTCAAGTGTTAAATGGGCTTAGAGCTGGCCTGAGATTTGTTTTCAGTGCCTGGGTTTTTGGGGGGGTAATGGCAACCCTTAATTTGGCAACAACAACAAAACAAGAGTCGGGGAGGTGGTGGCAGAGGGTCGCCCTGTTGACCTAATTCCGGCGTGGCAATAATTTGCACGTCTTCAGTGGCCAGGAAGGGGAGGTACCTCTCTCTCGTAGCCCCCCAATGTGGCCAACAATGGAATCGAGTTCGAACTCCGTGCTGGCTCATTAGTTGCCACACTGAGCGAATAAGTGGCAACTACAATTATAAAGAGATTAGAACACCATCCACACTTTAAGTGCATATAGTGGAGGCATAATTTGGTCCAATTACCAGGAGTAGTAGTGCCAACAGGGGACACGTGTCCTGCCCTCCAACTCCAGTGGCTTTCCTGGCTCCCCAAAGTCGGGCCAGACGCGCCACCCCTTCTTGGCCCATTCCTGCTTCATCCCTTGGATCCTTTCATGCCCGGCCGGGTGAGGCCCTAAACTAATCCACTCGCCAAATCAACTCAAATGTACGAAATTTAAATAAAAACCCAACTCCAGGGACCCAATCCCACACTCCCACACCGTCCTCCGCAAAACCCAAAAAAAAAAAAAAAAGAATCCCAGTTGTGCAAATATTGGGATTGCCGGTGGTGGCAAGTCCTGGGCCGCCTGGCTTTCTATTATCCTTTCGCTTCAAAACATATCAGAAATATATGGAAGAGGCCCGCCAGGCACCACCAGGCACCGCCCCGTATCGCCGCCGCCATCAGCAGACGTCCCCAAAGTCAAATAAAAAAAAAACTGCTGGAAAATAAAAGAGAATCTGGCTCCGAATCCGGTCTGGTTGGGTTTAAAGTTGGGTCTCTAACGGTAAAGGGTCGGATCGGGGACGGTTGTGGACCGACAGACACTCGTCTGGGCAGGAAGGGGCGTGGAGGATGCTGATGTTGTGGCGCTTGAGGAGCCTAAGCAGTAGTGGCATCTGCTGCTGGCTAATTTCTCATACTTTCTCTACACTGAAAGAAATAGTTTAGGGGTCTGTCTGTCTTCTTTCTTATGCCCTTTGACCCTCTAGTGTCCAAGTGTCACCATTCATCTTCCTCCAACTCGAACTGTCTCCACTGCGGCTTCCTTAGTTTTTCTCTTCATTTTCCTGCTCATTTCCGGTTGACATTTTCCTTGAATATTGAGCAGCCTCCACCCTGTCTCCGGCACCAGCCCTTCAATTGGATATATGCCAGGACATCAGGACACCAGGACCACCTTTCAGCAGCAGGGATCGGGATAAGGGGAAGCATTTACAGCACTTCTAGCACGTTATTTGGGTAATTTCGCCAAGGACTCTGGCTCGAGCTCCTCTGCTGCATTCTTATTTATTTTCTGGCCAACTTTGTGTCCCCCCCCATGTGTGCCCCCGCTCCTGTGTGTGGCAAAAACTTTGTCCTTCATTACAACTTCTTACCCGAAAACCCAGGCCTGAACTTTGCAACGTCGGAGTTGCGGCATTAAAATCATCATCAGCCAACTTAGAGCAGAGACTGATGCTGAGCCACATATCTCAGCCATGCCGTCATAAACTGGGGGCCTGGGTGGGCGTGGTCTCGGCCCACATGTGTCTTTTGTCGCTGCCGGCGCTGCGCAGGCGCCAAAGAGTTTCAACTTGCGACTTGCGACTTGCAACTGCCTCTGGAACCTAAACTGAAGACTGGGTAGTCATTCTTGAGTCTCTTAGTTCAGCAACCTGTGGCAAGAAAGCGGAGTATGAGGTGTTAGTAGACTAAATGATGCCCGGTACTCGGTTCTTTTTTAAAAGAGTCTTTAAACTACTTTTTGTAGCATACTTTTGGGCTATAACTGTAATATATTGGGCTGTAAGGGCTATAACTTTTCTTAAAATGGACCTGTGGACCCTGTTTAGAACCTGTACGAGTATCGAGGTCTGTAAAACCTGAACGAGGTCTAAAAAGAACCTTCTAGTGCTGCCCCATCTATGAGAAAAACTAAAATGATAACCGGTACTCTGCAAAGCCTTCCAACTACATTTTATGGCATACTTTTGGGTGCTACGGAGTAAGAGAGTAGCAAGAAGAATGCATAAAGGGCTATAGGTTCTCTAAAAACTGTCCTATTTGTCTGAAGCAAGATATAAGGGGAAGATATAAGATGTAAGGGGAATATCTAGATATAAGGGTAAGTATGTTATAGATTGGAATAGAATAAGGCCTTGTTCTGTACGAGTACCGGGTCTAAAAAGAATCTTCCAGTACTACCCCATCTATGAAAATAAATAAAATGATACACGGTACTTAGCTTTTCTTTAAAGTAGCTTCTAACTCCTTTTTGTGGCATACTTTTAAGTGCTTTTGAGAGTTAGGAAGTAAAGGAAGACAGTAGGAAGCAAAATAAGGGGCTATAAGTTATCTAAAAATAACCCGATTTCTCTGAAATTTGATTTCCAGCTATATAGTAAAGTATAAAATAGATAAGAATATAAAATGCCCCATTCTCCACAAGTACCAGGTCTCTATAGCACCTTCAAGTACTACCCCATCTATGAAAATAAATAAGACTCTTCAAAAAAAATAAATAAAACCCCCCATTTTGTGGCCTCTCCCTTTCAGTCAGCGAGGGTTGATTAAAAACTTGTAGAATTATGCAAGTTAAAT